TGTACGTGTAGTCAAATAAAAGACCTAAGTCTATTTTCCAACAAAAATATAATCAAATTATTCAAATTTTTGTGGAGAATGTTATGACTAAAATAGCCAACAAAGGTCAGAGTCGACAAATTGTTGCCATCATTGTTCTTCAGGCTTTGTTTTTGTTGTTTTGGCAATTGTTTTATGCCTTCTAAATACTCCTAAATGTGTTGGATAACATGTTTACATGTGATTAGGTTTTGTTGAGTTTTTTCTTAATTTTTTCTTTTTAGTCATATCATATGTTTGAGCCATTTTTATTTTCAAACCATTCCTTGTTACTAGAGTCATGTCTAGTCCTTTTTATGTCTCTACTTCTTAGTTTAACTGTGAAAAATGAAAAAAAGATTATGTTCATTTTCAAAACTACACCATATTTGTTTTTTTGAGTTATTATTTTACATCTTTGAGTTCATACTTGTTATTAGTTCATTAACAAGTTCATAAAGTTAAATTTCCATTATGTTTTGTTGAGTTTCATAATCTATTTTTTGATTCTAGTAGGTTTCTTTCCATTTTGAGTTGGTTCTTGTTCAAGTGCAATATATATGTTGAAAATATGTTGCAGTAGTTCTATTGTGGTTTTGCAAAATTATAGAGAAAAATAGAAAAGAAGTTCATAAAAAGAATAAAAGAAAAATCACGAAAAATGTAATAAAAACAATTGCACTAGAATCACTACCACTACCTTATTTGAATGTTTATTTTGCTTGCATTTGAAACTGTTTTGGGGCTTTCAAATAGACTTTCCAACAACTATTGGTCTTCGACTTGAGCTAAAAGAATATCTATATGCACCACTAGTTATCAACCAAAAAAAAAAAGAAGCATACACATCTCTATTCTATAGTTGTTTTTGGTTTTGTTCATCCATTCTAGTATCTTTCTTTAGCTGATTCTCTTTGTATGCTTAACCTTGTTTTTTAACTTTTAATTTCTTGCTGATCTTTCTTGGTTGTTCTTGGATTTTTCACATGCAACTTCTCTTGAGTTTAGCTTTTGTTCATTTAAGCCTTTTCTTACTTTCTTTTTTGGACTCATTTCAATTTTTGGTGTATAATTTGGTGTAGGCTCTCTTTAGAAGTGAACTAATCCCTTGAGGTAGCATCTTCGGGGTGGAAACCTAAAGTGTACTTGAAGCCTTGGTGTAAGGGACAATAAAAAGAAGAGAGAAACACTTGAAAAGGAATAACATCTTTGAAGTTGTATTCACAATTTAGCTTCTTTGAGTTGTAATTTCATTTGTTTCTTGTAATCTTAGCCTAATTAGGTGTCTCGGGAGAGCCTTTGGTGTTCAATCTCATCTTCTAATTAGAACCTTATACTTTATAATGAATCATTTTTAGTTTGTGAGAGTTTTGAAGGTTCTAAGTGCCTTCTAACCTTACCATTAGGCCATATATCTTAGCTTTAATTGTTTTCTTTAATTGTTTTTACTTGATTATAGTTTAGTGTGTGTATAACTTTCTTTTCAACATAAATTCTCACTAAGAAGTTTGGTGCAAGATGCTTGAGGTAAAATTTGGTTAAGGAAAGACTTGGTTATTAAGTAATCCAAGTGATTCACCACTTTTTCATGGAAGTGAACTTGAGCATTCTTGCAACCTTAAGTCTCCTTAAGATTTTCTTTATGAAATAAAACGTTTCTTAATCTAAAATCCAAAAATAGGATGCACAAACATGTCTAGGGATTCTTCTTACCAAATTATTAGTGACTCTAGTGAAGAAGCTCTATAAAGTTTAAACCAAATTGCTTAAGAGCTAAAGTCACTAAAAATTTAGGGAAGGCAAGTGGTCATACAAAAAAGAAAATAAGAAAACTAAAAGAGAGACCTAACTTATCGTTTAGAGGAGGAACTTAAAATTTTAAAACAAAAAGATGAAAGGAAAGGATATAGGAGAAGATAAAGAGAAAAAGAGAGGGAGACAAGAAAAGGAAGAAGGAACAAAAAGCGAAAGAGGAGCAAGAAAGAAATGATAAAGATGAGGAGGAAATAAGAGATTATGAAAAGAAAAATATAAGAGAGAGGGATGAGAAAGAAATGAGAGAAAAATAAGAGATTGAGAGAATAGAAAAAAAGAAAGTGTTACTAAAGACACCTATCATTCCTTCAATCATAATTAAAACCAATATGATAAAGGGAGTTTCCAATCTTTGAGTTTCACAATTTATCATTAAACCAGATTTCATATCTCCACTCTTTACTTTTAAAAAGTTTTCAACTTCATTTCCACTTCTCATTATTTTAAACTTTTTGAATTTTTCAAAATCACACTTTAAGTTAACGTTATCTCTTAGGTTATATTTAACTCAAAATGGACAAAAACATTCTTAGAAGTAGCTTTTGAAAACTCTCAAGGAAAATCTTTCAAATTTAATATAAGGCATTTTTCTAGTCTTTCATTAATGAGATATATTTTTTTGTGAAACAAAAATTGATTGAAATTTTGTTTAATGATTATTATGTAGAAATATTTGATCTTGAAAGAATGATATTGAAATTGACTAAAATAAAAAAGTATTGTTATTTTTAATGAATGATAAGTGTGAAAAAGAGTTGTTTTTATACTTATAAATGAACTCAATCTTGTAATTATTCATGTTGTTCCTCATTGAAAAGTTGTAATAGGTAGTAGATTGTTATGTAAAATATTGTACAGGGAATGGTGTATTATTTAGATTCTGTCAGCCAATTTTCGCAAAGCGAAAGCCAAAATTCGCACTGCTAGGAAATGAAAATTCGCATAGCGCACCATTGCTTGTGCGCTGTGCGAATAACATCAGTTGAGAGGCAGCGGTTACACAAAATTCGCATAGCGCACCAATACATGTGCGCTAAGCGAATTAATGAATTTAAGTGGCTTTAAAAGACGTGACAGAGCGACAGAAACATTCTCTTCAAAAAAAGAAGTTCCAGACAAAAGCAAGAAAGGAAAACATCTCAGGATCTTCCGGAGACTACTTCAAGGCATCAAGACACCATTTTTTGCAAGGGATTGCTTCAAATGTGTACGTTTAGATGACTAGGAGTAGTTTTTCTTTCATTGGAATTGGATGTAATGAACTTACTCTGATGTAATTTTCCTGTTCAATATATTGTTCTTCGTTCATATGCTCTTTCTTGAATTTACTATCATTGTATGGAAATATAATGTTATTTGAATGTTTCTGATTACTGGAAAGTAACTTTGAACATGGACGTAGATAGAGCACTTAAGTGATTTGGGATCTAGGAATAGACTCAATAACTTGATCATTCCTAACATCGGACTTAATGCAAATTGTATATTAAATTGACTAAGGGATTAGCATTTTAATATATTAATTTAGAACTAGTTGCTAAGGGATTAGGACTAGTATGCCTCGATGTGAATGTTTGAATGAAGTAATGAAATATTGAACAGAGTTTTATATTCATATGATTCATGAAACCCAATTCCAACGAAGTTTCATTTAAATATAATTCCTTGCACACCAACTGTTTGATAAAAATACCAAAAAGAGTTTCTTGTGTTTTTCTGTACACTTTGATGTCTAATTGAGTTATAAAAGGAAGAATTGTCATGTGTTGCACAAGTCCCTTGGGAGAACGATACTTTTACTTATTCACTGTATTACTTGGAACGATTTGGTATACTTGCCAAAAAGTTATCAAGTTTTAAAAACTTGATAACTTTTTCTTGATAACTTTTTGGCAAGTATACCAAATCGTTCCAAGTAATACAGTGAATAAGTAAAAGTATCGTTCTCCCAAGGGACTTGTGCAACACATGACAATTCTTCCTTTTATAACTCAATTAGACATCAAAGTGTACAGAAAAACACAAGAAACTCTTTTTGGTATTTTTATCAAACAGTTGGTGTGCAAGGAATTATATTTAAATGAAACTTCGTTGGAATTGGGTTTCATGAATCATATGAATATAAAACTCTGTTCAATATTTCATTACTTCATTCAAACATTCACATCAAGGCATACTAGTCCTAATCCCTTAGCAACTAGTTCTAAATTAATATATTAAAATGCTAATCCCTTAGTCAATTTAATATACAATTTGCATTAAGTCCGATGTTAGGAATGATCAAGTTATTGAGTCTATTCCTAGATCCCAAATCACTTAAGTGCTCTATCTACGTCCATGTTCAAAGTTACTTTCCAGTAATCAGAAACATTCAAATAACATTATATTTCCATACAATGATAGTAAATTCAAGAAAGAGCATATGAACAGGAAAATTACATCAGAGTAAGTTCATTACATCCAATTCCAATGAAAGAAAAACTACTCCTAGTCATCTAAACGTACACATTTGAAGCAATCCCTTGCAAAAAATGGTGTCTTGATGCCTTGAAGTAGTCTCCGGAAGTTCCTGAGATGTTTTCCTTTCTTGCTTTTGTCTGGAACCTCTTTTTCTGAAGAGAATGTTTCTGTCGCTCTGTCACGTCTTTTAAAGCCACTTAAATTCATTAATTCGCTTAGCGCACATGTATTGGTGCGCTATGCGAATTTTGTGTAACCGCTGCCTCTCAACTGATGTTATTCGCACAGCGCACAAGTAATGGTGCGCTATGCGAATTTTCATTTCCTAGCAGTGCGAATTTTGGCTTTCACTTTGCGAAAATTGGCTGACAGAATCTAAATAATACACCATTCCCTGTAAAATATTTTACATAACAATCTACTACCTATTACAACTTTTCAATGAGGAACAACATGAATAATTACAAGATTGAGTTCATTTATAAGTATAAAAACAACTCTTTTTCACACTTATCAATGAATTGATAATTTATTTTCACCTTTTATTTATTGTTGGACAATTTTTTTTTTAAAATTTAAAATATAATTAAAGAGCATCCCCTTATATTTTTTAATAGGTTAACATTCAAATCATAAATTAATCAATAATAATACAAAAGTATTTTAAAATGAAAAGTTTTGTTCCACATTATCACATATTTTTATTTTCTATTAGTCGTGTAAGGGTGGGACCCCCCCCGCTCAAAAACGAAAGAGAAACGCCTACCTCATTGAACTTCACACACTCCCCGCTCAAACTTCACTCTTCTTCCCCAACTACTCTCCGCCTTGTTCGTTCGTTCCTCAATTCCTCTATGGACGAATCGTCGTTGCAATCCGTCTCCGAAATAGGAAGACACCTTGCTAAACGAACTCGTCCCAGCAAGGACTTCATCGTCAAATCCCTCAGAGTAAGGCGTTTCAACTTTTTCGTTACTTACCAATTATATAGATGTCTGTGATTTTTGGCGTTTGCAGATGAATTTTGAGTGCGTTGAACTAGGTTGTAATTGAATTTTTAATAGGTTTCTGAATGCGCGTGAATTGGATTCCGTACTTTAAATTATCAGTCTCTAGAACTACTGTAACATTTTGAACTCAGTTTCTATGCGATTTGTTAGATGGTTGCTAGTAGTTGGGATAATTAGTTACTTTTCTGAGTATACAAGTCGCTTTGTGGTTCCATTGTTATCGATTTCAGTTTCGTCTCTAAAATGTTTTCCAGTGAGTGTTGGTTACCTTACACGCTGGTAAGCTAAACAAATTATTATTATTATTATTTTGCTGCTGTGCAGAAAGCTGCAAATACTCTGTCTCAGATAAAACAGTCTCCTCAACCGCGGACGGCCAAGGAATTACAAGCTGCAAAGAAACAAGAACATGCTTTGAAGCCCCTGTCAAATGCTGTGGTTTGTGGTGGTCTGCTTCAACATGCTGATAAGGAAGTTAGACTTCTGGTTGCTATGTGTGTCACCGAGCTCTTTAGACTTATGGCACCTGAACCGCCTTTTGAAGACAAGCATTTGAGGGTATCCATTATGCGTGTTGCATAGTTGAAATATGTGTAGTTGTTATTTTATCCTTTTGTGCTTATTGAGTGCTTGAATTATATAGTTTAATAGTTACGCTGACTGCAGATGTATTTTTATTTCAGGATGTATTTACACTTATCATTAATTTGTTTGAGGATCTAGCTGATACTGCAAGTCCATTCTTTTCAAAAAGGGTTAAAGTATTGGAGATAATGGCTCAACTGAAGTGTTGTGTGATAATGCTGGAGATTAACTGCCTGGACCTAGTTCTTGAGATGTTCAATATTTTCTTCTCAGTTGTGAGGTTGAACTTGAGATCAATCTCCTCCCTCTTTGTGCTTGGCCGCTTTACTGTATTTCTGGGCTTATTATCTAATTGGGGAAAAATTGTATTAGCTTATTTTAGATTCACCAAAGGTCTATGTATACGTACACTGTTAGGTTTTTAGCTTATAAAGGATTATTTATATCATCCATTTGTCCTAAATGTTTAAGTTATGTAATACAACAGTCGGTGGGACTTGGGAGGTTGTAGTTTATAATTTCTTGTGCAGCAGCCATTCCTTAATAATTGCAGAAATATGCAATTCGATTTTGATTGTTGATTTATTGGTAGAATTAATGACACCTAACCCACTTCACCCTTTTTGCAGAGATGAACAGCTTCTCATTAGTGCCATGACTTCTATAATGATAAACATTTTGTATGAGAGTGAGGAGGCTTTTCAGCAACTATTAGGAGTGGTTTTACTAAATCTTGTTAAGCAAAAAGGGGTATGATTTTTTTTTTTTGAATTCTTCTAATCTTAGTTAATGTATGTATTTTCTATTTTTTTTTTCATGGAAATACACAAATGAGCTTTGTAATTAAAAATCAAATACCGAGTGTGATGCAATTTCATTTATTCCCTTTTTTGTGCACTAGAACATGACTATTTCCAGAAAACACTGTGCTTCATTGTTTTGTTTAGTCTTGCTTAGTGTATATTATGTTTAAAGCTTCTAATTTGGTTTGCTTTTGTTTGTAAGGTCTGATGCAAATAATTTGAGCAATTTGATTTCCACTTTAATTGCTGGGAGTATTATTATTCATAATTATGTAGTAATAGTCACGCTTAGATATTGAGTTTTTGTTTTGTCTATTCAGATGTTTTGGGTTTGAAGCCAAACTTTTTCAAAATCTAACTCCAGTTGAATGGCAGGATGGAAATTTTGCTGCTGAAAACCTTGCTGCATCAGTCATCAAAACTTGTGCACAAGAGGATGAGCTAAACCTCGTAGCTTGTGGGTTTTTAGCTTCTTGTATACACGACAGAGATGCTATGGGCAGTGGGCTTAAACAATATTACTATGAAATTTTCTCAAAAGTTTTTGAGTGTGCGCCTCAGATGCTTCTGTCTGTCATCCCAAGTTTAATTAAAGAATTATCGGTACACACCTTTAATTAATATTTTGAATTTTGCATAAGATGAAACTAGTTGTTTGATGAAATCCTTTATTTTCTAAATGCCCATTCTGTTTTTTTCTTTTTTTTAACTGTATTGATATTCTTACTTGCTTTGACTGTATTTGCATTTTACTTTATAGGCTGATGAGGTTGATGCTAGGATAAAAGCTGTGAATTTGGTGGGTAAGCTTTTTGCGGTTCAACATCGTGTTGCTCAGAAGTATCCCGAACTTTTTGTGGAGTTTTTGAAAAGATTTTCGGATAAATCTGTGGATGTTAGGATTAGTGCTCTACAATGTGCTAAAGTTTTTTATTTAGCAAATCCCTATGATGGCACAGAATCACGTGAAATTATGAGTAAGCTCTTTGATAAATATTGGTCATTGATATTACCTTGTTGGGTTTCATATTCAATATTCAAATGTCCTAATAATTTTGTCCAACTGAGCAGCTTCTATTGAAGATAGATTATTAGACTCTGATGAACAAGTGAGAAAGCAGGCAGTGTTTGTTGCCTGTGATATTTTTAGTTCAAACCTGAAACTTGTTTCATCCAAATTACTATCTCAAGTTTCTGAAAGACTCCGGGATATAAAGGCATGTGCTGTTGAGTTTTGTTTGCTTGCTGAAGGAAAAATAGTGACAATGCAGAATTCCTAACATTTTATAATTCTTTTACAGATAACTGTTAGAAAGAGTGCCTTGCAAAAGTTGATAAGGGTATATCAAGATTACTGCAAGAAATGTTACGAAGGTAGCATGAAAATTAGTAATCACTTTGAAGAGATTCCCTGTAAAATTATGTTGCTGTGCTATGATAAAGATTGTAAGGAGTTCAGGTCAGTTTAGGAATTCAAGATTGCTAGTTGATTCAAAATTAGAGTTTTCTTGTTAGAAGTAAAGGTTATTTTCCATTAAATTAGGTTCCAGAACATGGAATTTGTTCTTGCCGATGATCTATTCCCAGAAGAGCTTCCTATTGAAGAAAGGACAAACCATTGGATACACATGTTTTCTCTTTTCAGTTTTCCTCATGAAAAGGCACTGGATACTATTTTGGCTCAAAAGAGAAGGTACCAATACCAACACGTTGTGAACAGGATCAAAACAGAGTATTGTTTACAAATTGTTCCTTTCTTTTCAGGTTCCAAAATGAAATGAAAAACTATTTGGCTATGAAGAAGAAAATGAAGGTAAAATTAAAAGTCGGTTCATTTATTCATAACAAGGTCACCTTTTAGTTGTTTTTTGTTGGATAGAAATAGGTGAAATTCTTGATTAAGTTAATATATTGCTGATAATATGGAATACATAAAATTAAACTAATTATTAATGAGGGGTGGGTAGAGACCAAGGCTTGCTTTTTGTAATCTAAGAGTGACATATTAGGGACTAGAAAACAGAGGGTTTGTGTTGGAATTCCCACATCGACTAGAGATAAGGTCAATTCATAGTTTATAAGTGGGTGCAAACCTCACCCGACAAGCCGGTTTTGTAGGGTTGAGTTAGGCTTAAAACCCACTTTCTAATATGGCGCGGCCGTGGCTCACCTTTCACTGTCATCGCCAAACCTGACGAAACCATAGCCCTTTGAACGGCCAGTATTGGCATCAAAAACAACTTTTGCAGCTTTAACAGAAGGAAACACACTAGCAAAAGTTTCATTCAACAAACTATCTGTAACATCTGCAGCTAAATCTCCTACAAAAATAGAAAGGTCAGGAACATTATCTGAACCCTTGTCGTAGCATGTGAATAGAACTCCACAAATCCGTAACCCTCTGATAGGCCAGTTTGCTTATTGCGAATAACCTTGATAGAGAAAATCTTGCCGGTGGAGGCGAAACAGCGATGGAGATAGTTTTCGTCCATCCAGTGATGCAAATCGCCGATCCAGACAGTTTTGTTCTCGCCGCTGGATCCGTTCTGATGCTGCTGGTGCAGGACGTGTGGCGGCGCGTACTGTGGTGATGGAAAGGCATGTACGGCAGCGGCACGTAGTGCTGCGGAGGAAACATGTGGTGCGGCATTACCATGGCCACTAGATACTGCATCGGGAGCCACTGCTGCAGTCAGCCGCCACCGCTGCAGTCAGCCGCCGTCGCTGCCGTACATGCCTTTCCATCACCACCAGTACGCGTCGCCGCACGTCCTGCACCAGTAGCATCAGAACCGATCCAGATGTGGGATTTCCAACAGTTTGTTACTATAATATTTTATGAAATGGAGTAGAGGCTTGCCACTTGTAGTTTTAGAGTGATTGTCTTGGAAGTAACTCTCAAATTTAGAAAGAATAATATATTGCTTTTATATTTCAATAATGAGACCGTTGGACCTATAAATATATGAGCCTGCTAGTTATTTTAGGAAATATAGAGAGCTAATTCTGAGAAAATAAATCCTTGTAATTATGGGATGGTTTTTAAGTACATAATCCTAGTATTAATAACAAGATAGACATGTAATAAAGAATAAATTTATAGCCATGATAAAATAGGAAACTTACTAAAATACATAATGAGCAACATGGTTTTGACACTTCCCTTCTAGCTGGTGAATAAGTGTTATCCATTCCCAGTTTGGATATAATTCTTTCCAAGTTAATGCATTTTAACACTTTGGTGAGTATGTGTGCAAGTTGATTTTGAGTGGACATATATGGGGTGCAAATCAAGCACTGTCTAGCTTTTCCTTTATAAAATGTTAGTCCACCTCAATATGTTCTCTTTTTTTCATGCTGCATTATATTATGGGCTATACCAATCGCAAATTTGTTATTACAATAAAACTTCATAAGTTCATCCCATTTTATCTTCAGGTCTTCCAATATAATCTTCAGCCACAAAAGTTTACATATTCCTTAGACCATTGTTTGAAATTCTACTTTAGCACTTGATTTGGCTACTACATTTGTATTTTGCTTCTCTAAGTCACTAGGTTTCCACCAAGAAGGTGCAATATCCAATAGTTGATCTCCTATCCACCACTGACCTTGCATACTTTGCATCTATATATGCTTCAAGACTTACACTCTTGTTTGTTTAAATAAAATTCCTCTTTCTTGAGCTCCTTTTAAATACTAAACATTTTAAGAGCTGCTTGTAAAGGAGCCTCCTTTGGTTGGTGCATATATTGGCTTACTAGATTCATAACAAAAGCAATGTCTAGCCTAGTTTTAGATAAGTGAATAAGTCTTCCAACAAGTCTTTTATACATTTCTTTGTCTACTACAATATCGTCCTCTACACTTCCCAACTTTATGTTTGGACCTATTGTAGTACTTGCTTGTTTGCCAGTCGTCTTCCTTGTTTAGAATATTATCGGAAACAAGTTATCTAACAGTAACTGTAGGATTACCTCTCGTAAAGACTTTATAATGATATTACGAACAAATAGAACCATATTTACTTTTTGCAACTAGCCTAAGGAAGATGAATTTCCCTAACCATATAAAGAATATTCTGATCATATTTTTAGCCAGCGTGGAACTTGTTTGCAATGGTTCTCTTTATAGTGCGAGAGTCACAACTCTCGAGGTATAATAAAGGTTCAACTTGTGCATTTCATTGAATTTCAACCATGAAAAACTGCTAGTGGAAAATAAGAGTGATTTATTATTCTCAATCATCAAAAAATACATTATGATACCCTCTATTTGTAATAATCTAATTCTCCTAAAAAGGGAAATAGGGAAACTAGGAAAGTAAAATAAAATAAAAGATTATATATCCATTTCCTCTAATTAGGAAGATTCTAAAGATATTATCTCAAATTACAACACTCCCCCTCAAGCTGGATCATACAAGATTATATGAACCAAGCTTGGAATAGACAAACCCAATAAGAGATAATGTCAATAAACCAAATTGCACACACAAACAAATGTAGTCCAAGAGACTCCTCAACATCATATGGAGAATAATGGACAACAATGGACAACCGTGAACTTGCACCATGAAACTTCAACTTGGACAACAATGGACAAGAGCGAACTAGCACAATGAAACTTCAACTTGGACAGCAATGGACGAGAGCGAACTAGCACCATAGAACATCAACTTGGACAACAATGGACGAGAGAGATTTCCATAAAAAATGGATGATGACTTGCAGCAGCAAACAACAACAAACTACAAGAACAAATGAAGGGCCTCCAGTGGCCAACAACAACAAAGCTCCAGGAACTAGATTACCATCAGTAGTGAACTTCAAGAACTTGATTTCCATGAGTAACAGATTGGAGGCCTGCAAAGGCTAACAGCCACAAACCTGTAGGGACTTAACCACCCTGAACAACAATGAACCTTTAGGGACTTAATTGCCCTAACAACAACGAATCTTTAGGGACTTAACTGCCCTAACAAAAACGAATCTTCAAGGACTTCACTGTCCTAACCTTTAGGGACCTAACTGCCCTAACAACAACGAACCTTCAAGGACTTCACTATCCTAACCTTTAGGGACTTAATTGCCCTAACAACAATGACCCTTCAAGGAATTTAGTATCCTGAACAACAACAAACCTTCAGGGACTTAACTGTCCTGAATAGCAACAAACCTACAGGAACTGAACTGCCCTGCAGCGGCTAACAACAACAAACCTATAGGGACTTAACCACCCTACAGCGGCTGAAACTTTTCTTCCCCTCACGACTGAACGGCATATGCACGTCAATGACAGAACGTGAAGGTGGAAGAACTGGTGAGAACCGATCCGTACTTGGGGACAAATCTGAAACCCCTAACATCGAATGAGCCAAATCAGCGGAAAGTCTCAGAACAACTCTCAGTGAGCTGTTACAACAAGGCATTAGAACAACTCTCAGTGAGCTATTACAATAAGGCATTAGAACAACTCTCAGTGAGCTGTTACAACAAGGCATTGGCAAAAACCAAAAACACCAAAGATTGGGACTTATGATGGCATCAAAAGGCCAAAGACAGGTTGGAGGTCCAAAGTTCTCTGCTGGACTACTCTAAATGGTGATACTTAACACTGTATCACAAGAAGTACGGGCTAAACTCTAGCCCAAGAAGGAAGTTCTCTACAGGGGCTGAAAAATATTTCCCCTCACGGCAAACAGCCGGTAGCGAAAAATTACAGAGGTTACAACAACTGACTGCCACGATGGCGATTGACTGCGTCGGCGCCGACTGTGGTAGCAGTGGAACGAAGCACTGTTGCTCGAGAAACAAAAACGAATGGAGAGGTAGAGAACCCTTCGTAATGGAGAGGAAAGAACTGACGCGATGGCGTCAAAAGAGGTCTCCCTGTCGAGAGAGCGGGTCATGAAGTATATCCAGCGATTCAGTACAGTGCCGAGATGATGACGTTAAAGTGACATATCAGAAGGAGCATATTATAGAGATGGAGGTCCGGCGACACGACCGGCAGCGACGCGGTGTGATTCCCGGGAGGGTGGCGCGTGACAAACACGCACCTGAGACCAGCTGAAGAAAGGCGGCGCGTGTGGAGGCTTCTGGGAGGTGGATTACGAGGGTTGAGTCGCGCTCCTTGAGGCGCACCCAACCATTATTTTCACCGGAGAAAATGACGGCGGCGGTGGCGGCGACTATCGGACTGATTTGGCGCTCGTGGCGACGCGCGAATGAGAAGTAGCCATCAGAACCAGTGCGATTGGCCGTCGCTCGAAGAGACGATCCAGATCTGCTGGTCACCGGTCGAAACTGCGATGGTGGACGGCGGCAGACGGGGGTAGATGGCGGAGAGCAACATTGCACAGTGGAATTAACAGTGAAGTCAATTGCCTTTCATGGTTCCCAGAAGAAGAGACTTTCGGTCTTTGATTGGCAACCAATGAGAATGCCAAAGAAAGGATTGGGCATCACTTAAAATACCCATTCTGTGATAAATTCTGAGATAAATTCTGGAAGTATAGCATATAGCTAGGTCAGATTAAAATCTCTGGAAGTATAGCTTATAGCTAGGTCAGATTGAACTCTGGAAGTATAGCTTATAGCTAGGTCAGATTTTAACTGGAAGTATAGCTTATAGCTAGGCTAGATTATGGAAGCACAACACAACTGTGTGTAGCTGTTATAAAAAAAAAACAAATGTATTTGGTAATATTGGAGAAAGGCCAGAATTCTAAGCAGAACTTGACTAGGGCAATTGGAGTCCATTAAAAACACATGTTAAAGAAGAGACTTTTAGGGACAGTTGGCAGCCATGGCGGCCGGTCGCTGGCCGCCGGCAGACAGCAAAGACAGCGGAAGCGAATCAGACAAGCTCTAATACCAAGTGGAAAATAAGAGTGATTTATTATTCTCAATCATCAAAAAATACATTCTAATACCTTCTATTTGTAATAATCTAATTCTCCTAAAAAGGGAAATAGGGAAACTAGGAAAGTAAAATAAAGTAAAAGATTATATATCTATTTCTTCTAATTAGGAAGATTCTAAAGATATTATCTCAAATTACAACACTGCTCATCTTATGTATTAAATTTATTCACTCAATTTTAAACTAATTTTTTTACTGAAAGAGTATCTTTTCCCCAATTGGTAATTAATAGATAAGAAATTGTATGATGGAATCAGCATAACATATGGTCATTTTTATGTGTTCTACCTGTGATTTGCTAGCTCGATAATAATGGATCTCGGTAACTTTTTTCAGGAAATTTGTCCTGAAGAAATGCAGAAGAAGATTGATAGCATGTTTACAAAAATGGCAGCATTCTTCCCGGATTCTCACAAAGCTGAAGAGTGTCTGCATAAGTTAAACCAAATTAAAGATAATAGTGTGTTTAAGTTACTTGAAAAATTGTTGGAGGAACAAGCCTTCCCTATGATTGAACAAACTATGAAAGTATGCTGTTTAGTTCCACTTATGCACACAATATTCTGTATCAGTAGTTTGAATGAATTATTTTAATTCAATGTCATGACTTTTATGTGTGTGGCCTTGTGAATAGGGAAGTGTTAACACTTCTGTACAAGTAGTCATACCCTACACAGTTCTCTTGTGATTGAAAGTGAATTTGTTTTGTTGGATTAAGAGTTGAGATTCCCATATTTTCTTTTTATTTGCTCTTCCCTCAGTAACCTCATTTTTCTCTCTAATAGTAAGTGACTTGTGTGATGATTAAGCTTTTGGAGTGTTGCATGACAATGATTTGTGAGTGCTCTTGTTGAATTGCATTTTGAGACATTATAATATATGTTGAATCACTCTGTATTTTGAGAATATGTAAGGATTGTTTTCATGTGTCAAGTTTCTTGAACTTTTCTATACATCTTGTGCCATGTTCTTTATGTATATTTTTGTTCTTACTATTCTGTATGTAGTTATTTTTTTTTTTGTATAACCATCCATATTCCCTATTTTATGTCTCCATTTGGTTTATATTTTGCTTGCAGGATAAACATCTGGCAATGATTGGAGGCAGCAATCCAACTTATGAGTTTTTACGTCCACTATTCTCAAAATGTTCATCCAACATTTTCAGCTCAGAGCATGTCAGATGCATCTTAGATTATCTTACCAATAATGAAAATAGGACTTTAGAGGATTCTTCTGCAAATTTTCTGCTGGTAACAAAACGCTTCTTTGTGGATTTTCATACACTTTCTTCTATATAGTTAGTTCTCTTTTTTCTTTTTCTGCTGGTGAAGAGGAAAGGGATAAATCATTCGATCCTCCTGCATGAAAATGGAATTAGGCACTAGACTGTGCAAATCAAAGGATTGTGATAATTATTAGTGAGGCATTCTAGAAGAAGTTTTTATTGTAAACACTGGTACAAAATAGACCCTGCTACAGAATAGTTGACACGATGTTCATGACATGGTATTTACAGTTAAGTCATAATTCTAACAGGCAAAGTTTTAAATAGCACAAGGTAGCTTCTACATTTGACTTCTGAACTTTTATTTATTTTGAGTGATGACAATAATAGAAGAGAATAAATGGTCAATTGGTGCAAGAATGAACGTCAAAGCATGAATCATTTAACATGAATGGCTTATATTCCCAGGGTCACAGGAATTTTTTCGTGGTTATTTGAGGTTCAAATGGTTTTGTTTGTGTTAGGGTTCTTGGTGACAAGAAACCCAGATTATCCTCTAGATTGGACAAAACAGAACGCACACACCACAACTCATGTAAATGACTTTATTGTTGGAACACAAACAGAAAACAACCAAGGAAGCAATCCCTTCCTTCACAAGATGTAATGATCTTGTCCACACTCTCTACAATACAAAACGTGTCTCTCACTGACACTTATTTCCCCTTATACCCTGTACCAAAACATACTAACAACAAACCAATGGGGCCTAAACAAACTAACAACAACCTTGCTGATAGCTTAGGGTGTAGTTTGGTAGGCATGGATGCTTGCCTATGGGGCCTAATCTTCAAATACCCAATCCCCCTCTTTAATCTTCGATGGTCTACGTTTTTGGTTGGCAAATTTTGCCATTTGTCCTTGAGCTCTTCCCAAGTGATACCTTAATTGCTTTAGAGCTTCATCCCTTTGCTGTAACTCCTGTGCCACTACTACCACTATCGTTTCTCCTGCCACAAATCGAACTAGGGACGGGGCATAAACCACTTCAAATGGAGTGCATTTGGCAGACCCCTGATAATTGGTGTTTTGAACTGAAACACCTCAAATATATTTCAAGGGTCCTGTTCACAACTTCGATCTAACCATCTGTTTCAGGGTGATAGGCTGTACTCATAAGCAATTTTGTTCCCTAAATTCTGAATAGTTCCTTCCAGAACAAACTAAGGAATGTAGGGTCTTTGTCGCTAATTATGGAGGAAGGTACTCCGTGTAACTTTACAATATCCCTTACAAACACTTCGGCTATACTCTTTCCGGAATATGTGTGTTTATGGGTATAAAGTGGTCATACTTACTCGACCTATCCACCACCACTAACATCGCATCGTACTCATTGGACTTGGGTAGTCTAACAATGAAATCCATGCTTATCTCCTCCCATATAGCCTGTGGTATAGGCAATAGTTGGAGTAATCCTTGAGGTAAGGATGCCACATACTTATGCTTATGGTAGACTAGGCATGCAACCAAGAATTCTGTTATGGATTTCTTCATTCCTACCCATTATAATGACTGGGCCACCTTTCCATATGTTCAATAAAGCCTTGAATGACCACTTGTGGACGTCATATGGAACTCAACTATTAACTTCAAAATCCACTCTGTTTGTGTAGATAAGACTAGTCTTCCCTTGTAGTGGAGGCGGTCATGTTCTAAAGTGAAGGTTGGGTGTGAATCTAGGCTAGTCTCCAGGTCCTTTCTTATTTTTAGTATAGACTGGAAAGAACACAAAAATAAGAGAGCACTCTCTCCTCCAAGGGTTTTCTCCAATACTTGAAGTCAAGTCCAAGAAAGGGGCTATTATTCAAAAGAGAAGACACATTGAGTATGAAGATATATACTGATGCTGACTATGCAGGTTCTATTACTGACAGAAAATCTACTTCTGGGTATTCTTGGAGATAGTCTGGTAACATGGAGAAGCAAAAAGCAAGATAGAGTATCCCGTTCTAGTGTAGAAGCTGAATTTAGAGCCCTTGCTCAAGGAATGTGTGAAGGACTCTGGATGAAAATCATTTTGGATGATCTTAAAGTCAAAGTGGAGAACCCAGTGCAACTACACTGTGACAATAAGTATACTATGAGCATAACCCATAATCCAGTACAACATGAAAGAAACAAACACATTGAAATTGACAGACATTTCATCAAAGATAATCTTGACAGAGGCTTTGTGATTACAACTCATGTTCTTACAGAACTTCAAATAGCAGATATTTTTACAAAAGGACTTCCTCAGAGTAGATTTCAAGATCTTGTAGGCAAGTTAAGAATGATTGATATTCATTTACCAACTTGAGGGGGAGTGTTGTAATTTAAGATAATATCTTTAGAATCTTCCTAATTAGAGGAAATAGATACATAATCTTTTATTTTATTTTATTTTTTCTAGTTTCCCTATTTCCCTTTTTAGGAGAAATAGATTATTACAAATAGAAGGTATGAGAATGTACTTTTCATGATTGAGAATAATAAAATAAGTCTTATTTTATACTTGATGAATGAAAATGTGATCAAAGAAATTTAGATACCTCATGAATCAATGTATATTGTGTGATGGACTTCTTTAATCAAGAAGTCAATAAAGTGTTTGATTCACACAGAACAAACCCAAACTCAATGAATTTCCTCGTCTTATTCAATGAATTGAAGAATACAATGTACCGAAAACAATCAAGGAAGCCTAACCTCCCTCCACTGGACTAAGTTCTAGTAAACTCAACAAAACAAAGAATACAGAATAGTTCCCCCCCTTTACAACTAACTCTTTATTTATACTCTCCTATTCCTCTAACTAACTGCTAACTGAAACTCTCTGCTTTCCGCCTTTATTTTAACTCATATATACTTTTAATCCTCTATCATAGTGCAAAAGCTTAAGCCATTAGGTTTCAGGAATGGTTTGCGTGTGTTTTCTTTATCAATGTTGTCTCTATGTCAAAGTTATTAATTCAAAAGTACAGCAGATTTTGAATACGAAGTGATTTATGGATACCCTAGGAATTTTAGAATATTTTTACTATTAAAGCCAAATTGAAGCAAACCTATTTGTTTGTAGCAGTCAGCCAGTAGTCTTTAATTTGAATTACTTTATAAATCTTGCCACTATTTTATTTGAATCAGGCTATTGTTCGATATTTCCCTTCTATGCTGAAAGGCTCGGAAAAGCAGTTCTTATTGTTGTTGGAACATAAAAGTTCTGTTAAGGACAAGCTGATTGAAGTTATGGCAAAGGCAGGCTGTCATATGTCTTTCAATCATAGGTAAACTATGTATGCTGAATGTTTCCAACAGAATTACACACCAGAAAGTTCGCTTTAGCAAAAACTACCACTGTTGCTACTATTTTGATGAATACTTGTATAGCATCTAAATGTGTTTTGTTTTAATTTGAAAGAATTTTTATGAAAGTCCTGTTTTGGACTTTTAAAAGTTTTATCTGTAATTCCTTTTCATGAGAAAAACAATGGCCGTTTTCCTGGACTTCTGATGCAAGTGGCATGTGGGTTTGCCAATTTAGAAAGAATAATATTATTGTTCTGTATTTCAATAATAAGGCCATTGGACCTATGAATACACGAGTCTGCTGTTTATTTTAGGAAATATAGAAAGCTAAATCTAGGAAAACAAATTCTTGTAATTATGGGATTGTTTTAAATACATATTTGTAGTTTTAATAGCAAGATACACCTATAATAAAGAATAAAAGTATAGCAAGGATAAAATTAAAAACTTCCTAAAATACGTAATGAGCAAGACAGTTTTGACACTTTTAGACATTAATTAATTTGTAGATACTTCCATTCATGTTGTCGACTCGTTAATTTTCAAATATTGGTCTCTCCTTTTGTCAGGGTGGTACTGATTTTGGGGTTTTTCCAATTATGTAAAGTTGACTAAATGTTCTATGAATTAATTTTGGGATTTAAGGTAGTAAAGTTTTAGAGTTAAGTTGGAATTTTGCTTTTAGTTGGAGAAATTTCAGCTTTGAATTAACACTTCCGAGTAAAAGTAGACGAATATTTTACTGCCTTCCTAATTTTGTTTCCCCTTGTTGTCTATATGCAGTGATATTTATCCATTTTTAAGGAGAATTTGCTTGGATGGAACACGTAGACAGGCTAAATTTGCGGGGTCAGCAATTGTTGCTTTAAGTTCTGATCAGTCACTTTTTAGAAAGTTGTATCAGGTATAAATTTTATTGTGAATGCAACTTCCAACTATATGTTTGTTATTTAAATTTTTTAGTGAAGTAAAACAACTATTAAGCACATATTTGCTTTGGTATCATCATTTGGAGATTTTGAGAAAAGAAAGATAAACTTGTAAAGGAAGAAACTGAAATATGTTATAATTATTGGATGTGAGTGTTGAAATAGCTCGAAAATCCATGTAATCATTAAGTCTAAAGTAGGAGGTTGAGGGTTAGATAACCTCTGCCCTAGTTCTCTCTCTGTCCAAGTAGCCTAGGACAATTTTTTTGCTTTTAATCTTCCTATTGTATCAACCTTCATATATATAAATACAGAACTGAGAGGGGTTGTGTGAGCCCTCTAGAAATGTATTTCTCTATTTTAATCTCAAGTGTGACATTGTAAGATTATAAGTTTCACCGTAACTGGACACTAACTAATTGAATAGGGTGACTAACTAGAGAGAGAAATACAGTACAACGATGCTCATGATAGGATCCCATGAACTCATCTTAACCATATACTTTAACATATGCCTCTGAAGGTGTAGGTGGTTGGACTTGAGGTGGAAGGATAGACATCTTCAGCTTATTCCTCAAGTTGAAACCAAGTGATACAAAGGGCGTGGTGAGAATATCAACACATTGCTCAATAATGGGATTGGTAGTCTCCTAGAGGAAGTATGGTCTTGACATCCTGTTTTAGAGGTAAGAGAGAGAAAAGAGAAACTGAAAAGTAGCTTTTGTATTGATAAATTGCACAAATGAAATCATGGATTCTCTTTATATAGGGAATGAAAAGAAACAGGGGTTGTAGAGAACATCTGATAAAAATACACCTATAATGAAACTGCATCAAACTAATACAACACTAACACCCCTGTGAACTCAAGGTGGGTGATGATTAATAGGTAGAGCAACCATTTTGAATTTATCACAGTAAATAGAAAAAACATAAGAAAGAGAGGTTTGGTAAGAACGTCAACCTACTGTACTTTTGTTGACATATGTTAAACATATTGATATTTGGACAACTTTTTCAATAACAAAGAAAAGATCAATTTCCACTAGCATGAAGAACAGGATTATAAGTTAAGGTGACTGCACTTTCATTATCACAATAGTTAGTAGGAGAGCAATGTGATATGCCTTGTTCTTAAAGAAGAGTTAGAGTCTATAGAATTTCGGCAGTTGTTTGAAAAATGGTGTTGAAAAAGAATATCTGACTAACTTTAGTAACTTGTGAACTTGTGACTTAAATTCTTAAAGAGCACAAGTTTGACGGGGTTGCATCGATAATGTTGATTTGTAATAATCAAGCATGTGTACATGTCTCATCCAATATTTCATGAGAGGACCAAATATATTGAGGTTGATTGTCATTTCATTAATGACAAGACTAAATAAGATATTGCAGCAACTTTGTCAACTCTAGTGACAAATTGTAAATGTCTTAACTAAACCGCAGGGCAATGGAGTGTAGAGAACGAAAATAATATATTTTACTTTTTATCATAGTCATGTAACTTTTATTCTAGAGAAAACAAAATATCCTCTATTTGTGCATGGTAAATTATCGAATTTATACAAACTCATCCATGGTATTTTCAAACACAATACTCAGTCCAATGTCTGTTTTCTCTATTTTAACAAGAACCCTAAAGCTTTTATTGATGACCTTCTTTCCAAGGAAGAAAGCTTCCAACTCTGTGTGCTTGGTGCAGGCATGGAAGGTTGGTTATGAGGGATAGCTAATGTGCTCATGTTTTTTCAATAGACAGTAGGTAGTGTAATTGTCAGTTTAAGTTATGTTTTAATCTACAAGGCTTTAGCTGTGGTGGCAATAAGACTTCGAAACTCAATTTTAGTGCTTTGTTGTGTTATTGACATTGAGTTTTTGGACCACGAAGACATGAAGCTAGTGCCAAAAAAGATGCTGGACTTTGAGCTGGATCTTTTGTTGTCTGATTTAAAGCCCAATTTGCAATACTAAACGCAGTAAACTACAAGGGAATTGCTAGTGAGGTTGATTGCTATATGTTGAAATAAAACAGAGAAAGGCATAGGCTGAATCTCGAATGTTTATTGAGCTTATAGCGTTATACATTTATAAATAAGAAGATATAAAAAGACGGGCCTAAGCCCATTCCATCTAACACTCTTGTTACAAATATAATTAATTCTAGGGCCCATAATAATTTAGTATTTCGTTAATTTTGCATTACAATTATATTTCTGTAAAAAAAATTAAATTATTGATGTGCATTATCTTATATTATAACCCATTATGTTTTCTGTTATAACTTTAGAAAGGATTTTTGGGATCTTTGATATTTTCGATAACACTCTTGATAGCTGCTTTTGAGGGTTGGTTCCCCAAGTGCTTGGGTGCTTATCAAATAGTAGCTAAGCTGGTTGTTGATGTCTCGGAAAGGGATACCTAGGGAGGGTTATGAGCAGTGAGAAAGATGAGTGAGGTGTCATTGAGTGAAGTGTTGTAGAGTAAAAGCTGCCATGATGTTGACATTTAAGAGCAGTGCTATGTTAGGAAGTGAAATGTCCTTGAGTGAAGTGTCTTTAACATTATAACAGCTCTTCACCCCTTTTAAAATGAGCAAAATTGTCCTAGTGTTTGTCTAAAAGCCCTTGTCTATAGTCACCCATGCTTGAACTTTGATTTGATTGTTGTAAAAGCTTTAGGTTCGGAGTTGAGTAATACTTTGTTTCCATCTTATGGCTACTGGCTACTAGCGAACTGAAGCTACCCCTGTTACCATACAAACCTATTTGCTTGTTGGTTGATTTGTTTAAGCTCAGACCGCTCCATGAGCATATTTCAATCTGTCTATTGACAGTAATAACTTAAAGCTATTTGTTACTAGTAGGTGATTTGCTTCTTAGCACCGACAATTAACATTATCCCTTTTCTGTTTTTTTGTGTATGTGCCCAGGAGCTAATTGATTCCTTATATAGGGAGCGGAATGTCCCTACTATTTTGCAATCTCTGGGATGCATTACACAATATGTTTCCAATTTTGAAACTCAAGTTGAAGAGATCACGTCATATATATTCCAGAAGATCATTCAAGTACTTGAATTTAATAATAAATTGTCTCACTTGTTTAATTTATTCTGCCAGAGCACTGTTGATATTCTGGAAAAATATATTATCTGTTTGAATTGTTCATGGATTAAGTTGCATATTTTTATTAGATGGAGCATTTGGATGATGGTCATTATGCGACATCCTTTTATGATACTGCTCAATGTAGCGAATTTTGTCAGTTAAAGGTTAGTACGAGGAATCAGATACTGCTTTTGATTATAAAGTTCTCATCTGACAATACATAAATATTTTTTCCAATCTATTGTATGCCATGTTTCTTTTATAAATATATATATATATATATATATATATATATATATATATATATACATAATATGAAAAAAATACAATTTATACTTATAATATAAAAAATACAACATATACATATAGATATTTAAAGAAATCCAAAAATATAATTGTAAGGAAAAGTTAATGAAAGACAAAAGTAATTAATAATGTAATCATTTCTATAAATTCAAATAACAATAAAGTCAAATTAGAAAACAGAAATTTCAAGTTCAAAACTTGAAAACAACAAAACATAACGAAGGAGGCTGTTGGTTCAATGGTAGGGTGGATGGACTTGCAGTCAGCAGAATTGCATAATAACAGAGGAAGTTGTTGGTTCATTTTGGGTTGGGTGATCTAGGTCAATATTTTGGTGTAATGTTTGGTTGTATGGGCCTACTCATTTTCTTTAAAAAAATATAACATTTCGGCTGCCTTCTGCTGGGAAAATTAGAGAGAAGATTAGGGTTTCACTGCCTTGGGTCATGTGGACCTGAGGCTTCTTCTCTTTTGTTTTCCATGAGTGCCTGCTGCAACTCCTTCATTTCAAATGGGTGTCGTGCTGCCACTTTGCAACTTTTTCCATGTCTGTTTTGTGATGCCATTCGGAGATCAAAAGTCACTTCAATGGGCCATCATGAAAAACTCGCATTGCCACTGTCATGTTGTGGTGGCAAGGTAAAACTCCCGCAATTTTCACCATCTTTGATTTTTGTTGACATTGTATGTGGGTTAGTAAGTCGATAATAGATGATACTATAGATCCAACAAATCTTGTTAGGATAGATTTGGTTACCATCTTATTACATGTAGGTTTAGACTTAACTTAACCTTACGAAATTGGTTTATAAGGTGAAATTTGCACTTAGCATAATTTGTCCACAACTCTAGTCTATGTATGATCTCTAATACACCTCCTTATGTTGATGACTCAACATCCCCAGCAAGAGACTATATATTTGCAGGTGGTGAGGTGGCTGGTAACATGATAAGTCTAATACCATCTTAGAAATTAAACTTTAAGCCCAGATCAATCTTAAAAAACTAGATGAAGTTTGCATTTACCTATATACAATAATTTGATAGTATCTTTAGTCGTTGTAGAATCTCTTACCGTACTTGGAAAGTTGCTGTCTTGATGTGGTTCCACAACCAAAGCTTGTCGATCACCTTATCACCCTTGTTTCAAATATTGACACCAAGGATTGAGTTTGTTTGCAACACTTTGACACATCTTATTCTTTGGTTTTCTATGTCCCTTGGCCTTCAATTTTAATATCATGTTTTTCTCATATGTCCATCATCTTTATAGTTTGGTTACTGTTGTGATGTTTACAAATCTAATATGGGTTTGTATACCTTGGTGGATAACTTTCCATTGCTGAAAACTCAATCAATACTATTGACTCTTTTTGTTTGTACTTGTAACATGAATAGTTGTTGCCTCTTTTCTCTCAATCAACACTTTATGGTTCTCTTGGATCTTGGATACTTAGTTCTAATATCATAAAGAGTTTACTCAATTGTGGACATAATCTCATATCCATAGTTATTTATGATGAGAGAATAATTAAAGTACTCTGAATTCCAAAAAAAATAGTTATACAATGTTTCAAAGAATCACTATTTACATAAAAATATGATTTTTAACACATTCCATGATGGCAGGGTAATTTGTTTAGTTTCATGACCTTGATTTTGCAGATTTATTGGCTGAAAACTCTGGTGAAGATTTCTTTGCATTATGAAGGAAGTCATGTTGAGCTTAATATTAATGGATTGTTGGAGATTTTGTCAAAAATGCTACGAGAAAGTGATTATTTTGTAAATACAACTGCTAGCTCCTGGTATAGCTTCTATATTTCTGTAGGCCAATCTTTTGTATGCACTACCTTTGGGTACAATGCTTTCTTCTTCATTTTTTGAAGGCCAATGTTTTTTTGGTTTCAATTACCTTTTTATAAAACATATGCTAGCATCACTGAGACTTTCTTGTTTTCAATTTGCTTACTTACAAATATAGAAAGTCATAACGGCCAGAGCTTTGTGTAGCTTGAGAAAGTCGTATGCTTGAACTTTTATGCTGTTGTACCAAATAAATTTTAGTATTATTCTTGGCTTGCTTTTTGTGTTTATCCAACCTCATATTATGTTCCCCTCTTGTTTAATAATATCGATATTATGTATTTTAGAATCCTAAAATCTAGTACAGTTAAGCTGGTTCATGTAGAATAAGATTCACATACTAAGGATTTCATAATAATCAACTTCGAAATTGTATGTTAGATCAATTAGTAGTTGATTATTGTTGTTTTGCAAAATCTAGAAGACCTTTTGAAGTCTTGTAGTGAATAGTGACTAATTAAGTTATGTTCTTGATTATTTTTGTCATTTCTCTCTCTCTCTCTCTCTCTCTCTCTACATTGAAGTGTTAAATTTATGTGTTAAGCTTGCTTATAAATTTTTGTTGTTTTTACTACATGTAGTGAGAATGATACGGCTCATATTAGATTAGCTGCCGCAAAAGCAATCCTTCGTCTTGCTAGGAAGTGGGATTTACATATTACTCCTCAGACTTTTCAGTGTTGTATATCGATTGCAAAGGTATGTATATTGAACTGTCTACATGTGAAATAATTCAGTTGGTGGAGAAAGTATATGAAATTTTAAAGTTTATGATAACATTATTAAAAAATTGTTTAGTTTCTAAAATACCAAAATAAGATATAGTGTTGCAGACCAGCACACACAATCCAGAGATATAGGCAATAATAGAGAATCAGAAAAATTATAATATGAAACTGTATAAAATTGTATTGATACTATATAGGTGAAATGCAGAAAGACAGTATGTCTTCTACCCCAGAGCAATGCTCCTATAGAGGGTGAATCTCTGCTCACAAACAACCTGATATTCTCCTCCCTTTTTTCCACTCCTTAACGGCCCCCTATAACAGAAATGCACACCCCCACTCACATTTCCTTCTCTCTCTTGCCACGTCAACATTCTTTCCTCCCTGCCTATATTTCCACACACAGACCCTCCATATTTTGGGCCTATTCTCTTGACTTTTATTCTGCTCTCCTAAGCCTGAAATATTCTCCATGGGCCTATCATATGGTAACATTAAATTATTACAAAGCACACAATACCTTTCAAGATGTTAATAACATTGACCTAAATTATATTGGTATTCTATTAATCTATTGCTATAATAATAGCTTCTTTGTCTTAAGAGTTGGAAATTATAGTTTGTTTTATTCTTTCATGAAATTGGGCTTGCTCCAATGAGTACTGAATAGTTTAAAGTCAAACGTGTATAGGTGGACTTGTCTAAGTTGAATCATATTTTTGAGGTGGGAAGAATAATTGTTTCTTGTGCTGATAGGTTCTTTTAATCAAGAACCTAAGAATAACACTAGAAACACCACACAGAACAAGTTCTCTGAATTATACAGCCTCCTTTTATTGCCAAAAGAATCAAGAAGAATGGTGAATACAAGATACTCAGAGAGCTTAACCTCTCCCCAAAGAACTACAAGAGTTCTTGCACAATCAATAAGACTCCAAAACTCCTGACCTACACTCGTTCCCCCCTTTTATACCAACTACTAACAGAATTAACAGAAACCCATTTCCCCATTTCCTAACTGCCTTGGCAGTTAGGCTCATTGCCTTTACCTCTTCTCCTATATACAATTAACTCCCTAACATGTGCATTATTGAATGGTTAGAACACTTGTACATATACACGAGGGCTAAATTACTTGCTAAGTTTGTGCATTAATGAGGAAAACAAGAAAACCAAATGTAAACAAGAAAATAAGGACAGGAAAAGTACTATCTTCTCAAGCCTCTATGTAATCTCAACACTCTCATTCAAGCTAAAAAAGATATCTTATGCTCCTTGCCCTTTACTAACATATCCAATTTGGGGACCTTGTCAAGATTTATACTGAAAATGCTGGGGAGTTGATCCCTTGAGCAAATTTGAATACGAGGTGAGATACAAGAGTAACTCTAATATAAGATGTAATCCCAAAATGTGTATTATAGAAAATTTCCTTATTTACACAATCACATTGTTAACAAGTATAAATATGTAACTCCTTTCTTATACTTGTTTCCATGCTTGAACTCAACCGAAGTATGACACATTTCTGATGTAAGTTTCAAGACTTATGCCCACATTGATAGAGGATTAAAATTATATGTGAGAAAGAATAAAGGCGGGAAGCAGAGAGTTCAGTTAGGAGTTAGTTAGAGGAATAGGGGAGTATAAATAAAGAGTTAGTTGTAAAGGGCAGGAGGCATTCTGTATTTTCTTTGTTTGTGGAGTTACTAGAACTTAGTCCAGTGGAGGGAGATTTGGGCTTCCTTGGGTGTTTTCGATACAATTGTATTCTTGAATTCATTGAATAAGACGAGGTTATTCGTTGTGTGTGGGTCTGATCTGTGTGAGTCATACGTGTTATTGACTTCTTGATTAAAGAAGCCTAACATTTGGTCCGACCTGTCGGAACGCAATCGAAGAAGAGACGAGATGGAGAGCAAGGTGAGTGCCTTGGAGGGAAGGTTCGATGCCATGGAAGCAACAATGGAGGAATTCCGAGCCGAGATGCAAGGGATGGATCGAGACGTGGGTCGCGTCCTTGGGAGACGAGGAGGGAACCAGGGGAGGAGTTCTTAGGGCAATCGCAGTTCCGCTAATGGAGGTCGAGAAGGAGATGAGGATGAATCGGAAGATGAACCGGAGGAATAGCGCGATGACGTTCAGAGAAGCTGGATGAAAAGAGTGGAATTGCCCACTTTTGAAGGCACCGATCCCATGGGGTGGATCGCTAGGGCGGAGAAGTTTTTCGAATTGCAGAACATGACGGAGAAGCAAAAGATGAAATTAGTTTATATATGCTTGGAAGGGGGAGCGAATTACTAGTTCCGCTTCTGGCGGAAGAAACTCAAGAACCCAACCTGGGCGATGTTGATGGAAGCAATGGTCAGAAGGTTTGGAGGGAGGCATCGGGGAACAATCTTTGAAAAGTTGGCGGCGGTGCGGCAGAAAGGGATGGTGGAGGAATATGTGCAGGAATTTGAAATTTTAGTGGCTCAGGCAACGAGAGTGATTGAAGAACAACTTGGTTATTTTTTTGCGGGATTACACGAAGGACTCAGGGATCTCATCAAGCCTCACGATCCGCGCGATTTGTTAACCGCGATGGAGAGAGCTCGAGACGTGGAGCAAGCAGGGCTTGTGCCGAGGATGATTGGCGATGGAGTGGCGTCTAAGGGAGGATCGGCGTGGGGCGATATACGACCAGTACGGGCACTGTGGTGAGGACAAAAACCTATCGCAAGCCATCAGATGCACATGGGAGTGTAGGCGGAGGTCTCGAACAGAAGAAAGAAGTGACGTCAAGGACCGCCAGTTCCAAAGTCGAAAGCATGTCAGGGGACGGAGGGCAGAATCATGGAGTGCGAACGCTGCCATATCAGGAATACTTCAAGAGGATAGAAGAGGGTTGTTGTTTCCACTGTGGGGGGCCTTACAACCCAGGGCACCGACTGAGAGAAATTTAAAAGTGATGATCATGGGAGAGGACGATGAAGAAGAGGAGGTTGAGGCGAAAGAGGAGGCTGAGCAAAGGTGCATGGAACTGTCAGTATACTCAACTGGGGAATAACGCAATCCAACACCATGAAGCTGCCTGGTTGGATTCGGGACCGACTGATAGTCGTGTTGATAGATAGTGGGGCGAGCCACAACTTCATCTCGACGTGTCTAGTTGAGGAGTTGGGTTTAGAGAGGGAGGAGACGTCGTCATATCGTGTATGCTTGGGGGACGGCCAGAGAAAGGAAACGCGGGGTTGTTGCATGGGGCTGTCCTTAACATTGGAGGGAGTTGAGATTAAAGAGAATTTTTATCTCTTCAATTTGAGATTCCTAACACACTCCAAAATGTTCCTTCACAAAATTTTAGAATAGGAAACAAATTAAAACCTGGTAGTATTCTAACTATTAAGTGGAACATACCAATTGATATTGAAAATAGAAACATGTAAATATGGAATTATTAGGATTAATAATATCCTAATGTCTCCGTAGTAATTGGGAAAAACATAGCTAAAATCTACACACTCATTTGAACAAAGTTTATTTTATTTTTTAAAAGAATGTGATTGAGATAGAACTAAGAGGAAGTTAACAGGGGTTAGACAGTTAACTGTGGGTTGGAGGCAGCTACAATGCCTAATAAAGGTTATCTTTTAAGGGGGAAAACGGATATCAGGTGGGGTGTGGATTAGTTTGTTCGGGATCAGGTTCTAACCTCTGTAGAAGGGATTTTCTTCCCTTGGAAGTAGTTCGACGTTTTCTGTATTTGCCTTTTCTAATTAAATTATCATCTTTTGAAGTTGAAGTAAGATTTGTGTGCATTTTTCTTAATCTGAAATAATAATTTGGTTTCTTGTCACCAAGAAACCTAACAGATTGCTAAAAGTAGGGGACTTGAGAATGTAATTGTATGATTGTAATTAATGAGGTATTTCTTTATTCCCTCTCATTATTCATCAATATCAAATTCCCAACCTTGGGTATTCTGTTTCTACTGCCACGAAGGCTTGTGTGAAGCATTAGATGAAGATCATATTAGATGACCTTAAAATTAAGGTAGAAATCCTTATACAATTGTACTCTGACATCCATTAGCATTGCTCATAATCCATTACATGATGGGACCAAACGCGGATGATAATCTTCGCCAAATGTGTTGTGGTTACTACCCATGTCCCTATAGGACTTTAGTTAGCTAACATCTTCACAAAGGGACTTCTACTAGGCAGATTCTAAGACTTTGTAGGCAAGTTGGGAATGGTCAATATTTATTTGTAAACATGAGAATGATTGTTGTAAATAGGGGATTACGTTGATTAAAAGATACTATTATCTTCACAGTAATTTTGAAAAATATCTCTAGTGTCTTCATATTCATTCTGGAAGATTTTATTTCTGTTTTTAAGTGAATGTGATTGGTATGATTGTTATTAATAAACTATTTCTTTGTTCCCTTTCAAGTAAAACAAGCCAAACATTGGATAATGTTTACTATCATCTTAAAAGTGAGTGGAATTTTAAATTGATGTAGCTCTTATATATGCCAATTGATCTGAAATTTGGCACAAGAACAAACATACTAAATTCATGTTTTGCCTAAATTGCTTTTACTATTGATTCTCAACTGATTCATTATTATATTTTTCATTTTAACTTTTGTTGTGTCTCTTTCCGTATTTCAGGACGACTCTTTGTTTGTTAGGAGCACATTTCTTCGTAAGATCCAAAAGTTGCTGAAGGAGCATAAACTACCAATGAGATTTGCATGTGCTTTTGCTTTGGCAGCAACAAATGGCACCGGCGAACAGCAATATCAGGTGTGTTTAAGGCTCCTAAATTGTGATTTTTACTCTTTTAATTTTGGTTGATCAAATTGCATTACTTGTTGGATATTTAATTGTAATCTATGCGATTGAAATGTTGTAATCATGACCCCTCAGTATTCTTTTCTTCTTTCTCGCTTTTTCTCTGTTTGTTTTTTCTAATGGGAGTTATACAAGTCTCTTTAGCGGGAAAGAGGGTCAGTGTGAGTATAATCGTGGTAGAGAATGACAAAAAAGTGGTATGGGAATTGACAACATGAATAGGAAGAGGTTATCGTTGGTGAAGTGTTGGGGAAGAAGGGAAGCGAGAAGAAGATAAAAGAAAAAGAAGGAAAAAAAAAAGAAAGATCCCTGCTATCATTCAAAAAGTAAATAAATGTATTAGTTCATAAACCTTTTCAATTTAAACATTCTAATTTAAGAATTATAACATTCAAAATTTATTTCTTTGGTTTGTTAGAAATGGTAAGTTAAATTGTTTTAATTGGTTTGCTATGTCTACAAATAATAAAATATTTCGTCACCACAAAACTTCCGGATGGTGATTGGAGAATTTCTCTTATCACATGCATGATTAATGCAACCAATTGTAGGGAAAATTAGTGATTGACATAACTTTTGCATATTTTTTGCTCATCAGTGGGAGGGTAATAAAACCACCCTCCCCTCCTTTCCATCTATGCAAATCAACACTAATAAATAGAAACGAAGCAAACAGCTTCAATCCCCGGCCTCAATTCTTCATGACTAGTATAACGGTGGGAACAAACTCAGTGTAGTAGTTGTAAGGTGAGATGTTCATGTGGACTCTTCAAGACACTCCCTCACATCAAGGACTGGACATATCAAACATGGGACTAGGGAGAACCTGATAGTAGGTGACTTGACGCCCAACACCTTGTTAGGATAGGATTTCAATGACTTTGATACTTGAGATAATGTAGTGTTTTATTTCCCATTACAGCCCTAGAAGAAAGCCTGCAGTATTATCATTATTGTTTTGTTCTTGATATTACATATATTATATGCTAGAACCTGTCCTGTTATGGTTTATGCTTATTCTGATTAATGGTTACCGATGCTGCTTCTTTTAGAACTACAAGTATATGGCAGAGTTTATAAAGGATTACAGTATATTAGCCCGTAAACGAGAAAGTTCTTCTGTTCAAGGAGTCATCATTGATTACCCAGCATATATTTTGGTCTTCTTGATTCATGTGCTTTCTCGGAATAATGACTTTCCATTTGAAGTCTGTCCAGACGAAAAAATTTATGCTGACGTTTGCAGGTAATATATTGCAATTATTATTTTTCATGTTTTAGTTTTAATAATTATGCAGACGAATATACACCCTTAGATGGTGACACATCTTGGTTGCTTTTTTGTAGTCCACTTTTCTTTATCCTGCAGGCATTAGTTGATATCAATATTGTTGATGGTGACCTGGACATTGTTGATGATGCTATCCTACATATAGTTAGTATTTTTCGAGCAATCAGAAAGGTTGAGGATGCTATTGATGCACAGATGACAACTGTATATTTTTTTGACCCTATTCTTCATTAATTACTCGTGTTTATTGTATGTAAGTTTTATTTGAGTTTTTGTGGAATGCAGAAGCTGCATATGCTGGCTGAAATTGGGATATTTACATTAAATGAATTAAGTCATGGTGGAATATCCAAATTGCAAACACCTGGACAAATTTTATTGCCTTCATCATTATATAGAGTGAGTCTCATTAAGAATGATGTAAGCTTTCTTGAGGATGCCGTGGACAGAACATTTAATTAGTTTCTAATTTATTTATTTTTAGCTTATACAGTTGTTTTCTTATCCAATTTTTATTTTGCTTTGGATGAAACATTTCACTGCAGACTAGTTCAAAATGTCTGAAGTCATGTTTTGAGGAAAATTTTCTATGTAGAGTTTTTCAAGCACTTAAGGAATTTACTGTGGCTCATGGACATGCTGAAAAGGTACTTTTTTGTAAATACAGTTCAATAATTGTCTCATTTGTTTTTAATGATGATGCCAATGATTTTTACTTTATCTCCTGTTTTTTGGTTTTTTTTTGGGCGAGGGGGTGGTCATATTAACAGACTGCAAAAAAATTTCCTAAGCATGGTCATAAGGTTCAACAAGATGTTAAAAAGTCTAATATTAATATTGGTGGTGTACTGGACTTGGCATCTACCGAACCAAATGATTTGTCAAGGAGAGCAATAACAAATGCTAAAAATGCGAAGCCAGACATCCGTTCGGTGAAAAGAAGAAAATGTGTGTCTGGATCTGTTGGTTTGCATGAATGCTCTACAATCGAGAAGCAACAAAAAATACCATCAAAACATTTTGGGAAGGCTTTAGAGAGCAATGTGCTTTTGTCGAGTGATTCTGTGTGCTCTAAGGATTCTCTGTATGTATCACATGTGCAAACCCGGAAATCAAAAAGAGCTGCTGCTTGCTCATTGGAGAATGCTGTGACAAATAGCAAACATATTGTTGAACCTTTCAAATGTCCTAGAACCAAACGGAAAGATACATGTGGCTCAAAGGTTGGTGGGAATTTCTTTGAAATATCATAAGTTTAGTATTGTTTGTTGTACTTGCATGTTCATTTAAGTATATTTCATAAAATTGGATGGAAAAAATGAATTTAATTAGAATGCAACAACAATGTAAAGGTTTTTTAAACTCCTTTCAAAGGAGAAGGAAAAATATGAAGAATTATTGCTCATTCTCATCAACATTTTAGAGCCGAGAGTATATGGAACGAAAGGGGAAATAAATGTCCCTAATAAACTCAACAAGAAATGAAATAATCTCCCCAAGGAAGGCAGTAATAAAAAACAGATTCCTGCCTATAATATATAGCATTAAATCCAAAAAAATATTAAAATCATAATTATATAAATTTTAGGAGTTTCTATAGAATCTAGGTGATTCCGGGGGTATCTTCCAGCACATTTTACAGGTTGACATGTTTAAGTTAACTTATATAGTAAATATTAGGAAGTCATGCTTAGGATGATTTTTGATTGGTTGACAGTCAAAAAAATTTTACGTTAACATTGAATGAAATGTGAAAGCTAAACTCATGAAAATAGTATATGATGTCGCAAAAACTGTAAAATGTTAGCTTTCTGTAAGTTCTTGCTTATTCAACCCTTAAGAATTGTTATTGTTAGATATGAACCATTATTAGTCTATTGCATTCTCAATTTGCATTTAGGATGAGTTGGTTGTTCACGCACACGCACACGTTTTTCAAATTGTCATTAGTGTTTTCCAATTTCCCTATTGCTGTTATTGTTTACAGTTTTCTAGCCTGAAATGTTTTAGTTAGCATTTATTTTGTGTCTACATCAACTATATACCTAATGCTGTAATGAACAGAAAATAATTAATCTTAATTTTCTTTTCAAGTGATAAATTTCCAGTAGGCATTTGAATAATATATTAAAAAGAATTAAACATCTCATAAGTCTAAATTAACTTCTATAAAAAGTAGACTTTAAAACTAACTCACTCAACCTCACAAAAGTTAGTTGTAAGGCTTTAACTATACTTTGAGAATATTTCCAATTAGATGTGAGATTTCTAACATACCTCCTCAAAGGATGAACATTTTGAATGTGAAAAGAGATATTTATGGGTGGTCCAACTTCTAGTGGCTCGATAGCCCTATCAAACCTAGCTAAGATAAGTTTTGGTACAATCTTATAAAGTGGACTCGTAGCTTAGCTCTTGTTCACAAAATTGGCCAAGGTAAGAAGGTGTACACCCACCTATGTCTTATAATTTGATCTCCAGTGGTTGTCTTATTCCCAACACTATGCACCTCAATTTATGGAGAAGTTGGACAAGGGAGCTTATAGAAAAGTTAAAGTTCTCAAATTGATTTTCATTTATGAAAGAAATTTGATTTATTTTATCTCTTTGATTCATTTTATTTTATGACTGCAAGTGTTTACTAGAGATTTTATCCATACATTTCTCTGTACAGGCTTTTTGAGCCTAATGCAACTAGGTTATATAAAAAATTATAAACCTTGTATTAGTCTACTATCAGCAGCATATGCTTTATGAATATCCTGCAGCTTTAATTTTGTTGAATCAGTAAGTAATTAATCATTACGAGGTCAATATGCGATTGGCCAGCAAACAAGTCTTAACTTCATCTGAAGGATTTTGTCTTCAGAAGCCTTGGTTTTCAAAGATAGATATAGTTTGGATTAGCTTTTAGCTCATGGGGAGTTCAGTTATAAAATTCAACCGTTGACTTTTCTTTGGCAAGTGCAAACCTTTGTTAAGTTTGTAAATGCTTAATTGCTTATAGAGAAGTTATATGATAAAGTTTATGAAAAGTTGATATGCTTGAGTTGAATTTAAGTTTTAATATATGGGATATGTTTGACTCATTTTACCTCCATTTCTTTCTTTTCTTTTCCTTTAGTACTAATTGAGACTATAGCGGTATGCTTTTCTTGTTAATGCCATCTGAGAAATAAGTATAATAAATCCCTTGCTTTGAACTTTATTTTGTATTTACTCGTCTTTTGTCCTTTTATTGCGCTGCTTAAGAGTTTCTTGTGGAAACAATTCTTATGAATATCACCTGACTTTTTCTTCTTTTTTTTCTTGAAACAGGATGTACTAGAAGATGTTTCAAATAAAATTAATTTAAGCCTCCGGTGAGTTTTATGATAACTTTTTGCTTTTTATTGTTTTACCGCATTTCTATTGAAAACGTTCAATTTTCTTTAAATAGTTTCAAGTTTGGTAGAAGAATATGTGAATATTTGAAATCCATATTCGAAAAAACTGCAAATACCTTCTCCATCTTCTTTTAATAGCCAAGGCACAATTGTGATATCAGAAAAAAAGTCTTAATAAGTAAAGTAGAGGCACTCTCTAACCGAACACATCGCCTCCTGGAAATGCTCTAAGCTGCCATTACTTTTGCATATTCATCTATTCATCTTGTTTTCCATATGACTTATGTTTTACATGACTGCTTTTTTTTTGTCTTTTAAATAAATTACAAGGTTTCCTGTTTATTCTTGCAGTGAACCTGGTGAATATTCTTCTCTTGATGGTGGTAAAAAGGCTGCAGTTAAAAGACGCCAAGCTGCCAGAGAGGAAACACCACTGAATAAGGAAAATAGTAAGTAGTTTCAACAACCAGCAATGGATCTTGTGGCTGATATCTTATACATTGCAGGCTTACCTATTAAAAACAGACATAATATTTGAACATTCGTAAGCATGTAAAATTCCGTGGTATAGATAAACACAGAAAAATAACATGTGAACATGATGTGTTCCATGATCCGTGGGTGGAAATACAATTAGAAAATCAAGGCGTCATAAAAGCTTTTTAAGGAAATGTTGTACGGCCAACAATCACTGCCACTAAGATAACTTAACGATGTTTAGTTTTCTGCTACTTGTCGAGTAATGGTTCTCAAGATTCACTTGAATTCATTTCTGGGATTTTTCATGCCCTAGAGAAATTTCTCTCGATAATGTGAATTTTGTTTCAGCAAACGTAAATGCAAATGGAAAATGCATGGAAACATCAGCTTCAGAAGTTGTCAGAACAAATGCAAATGCTGTAAACTCTTGCCCAGATATATTTTTCTGGCCTGTTTAACAAATGTTTATTTGGCTTTTTAGATTTTTTGTTGCTTATTTTCAGGTTAGAAGAACAAGACGGAAAGTATAAATACGGTGCTGTATTCTCATGGACACGGAGCTTTGAAGACCGCGTATTCTAATCCAGAGTTGTGCACAAACTACAACACATCTCACTCTGCCGTTATTTTTCGCACTAACACAAGAACTCGGGCTTCTGTTTATACGTTTTCTTATCCTGTAGGCATGCTAAAACTTTGTACTCCTAAACAAATGCCCTTTCTTTGTATGTATTTTTACTGATATTTTCGTTTAGATATGATGATTGGGAATAGCACATTAACAACAGTGGTGGGAGGCAATATATCTTAAAATAGTATTACCATGCGAAAATAGAATGTGAGATATTATGAAATGTCTAGTTGAATAAAGCATAACAAGTATTTGTAAAAATAACCAAATGTAAAAGAATTCGGTCAATAAAATACATATAGTAACAATGATGGAAAAACTAAGGACAACGAATTTAAATTTCAAAGTCATGGAAAGTGCAAATGAACCCTATCAATCTTACGTAGATTTATATACGAAACATTTTCTGAGATGTCATATGGTGGTACATAAACTTGGCTTTCTTTTTCTGTTATTGCACTGACCACTAATGGCTTGGATGGTTGAAAGATACAAAAAGTAGAGAGGAAAAATAAAGAAATAACCCATGAGGGGGCAATTTCTTGTACTCCACCGAATTCCATGATTTCTTTTTGCACCTCTGTCAATTATGAAAAATATTAAAAATATCCTTTCATGCAGTTTCGTTTCATACTACGGATTTAATGATCTAGAAAGCTTTTAGGTTACATAACTTAAAAATTAGAATTTGGGTATTGTGTTTTGTATTATACAATTTAGGATTACTTTTTCTACCTTTTTTTTCAAATTGTCTTAATTGCACAATTTACATTACGTTTTGAATTATGAAATTTCAAAGTATAATTTAAATTAGGTTAAACTCCTTCGACAATTCCTATGTACGTGGGTTTTTTCCAGTTAGATCTTCGTATTATTGATTTTCCCAATTTAGTTCTAAAAAGTGAAAAATTGACTCAATTTGGTTCCTGTTGTTAAATTGACTTAAAGGGGTTAAGTTTTTATGACCTGGGTTGTTGGTGTGAACATTTTTTTAAATGTGGCATTGAGAGAGCTTTATACGTGGAATATATAATTAAAAAAAATGCTGAGAATTGAAACCCAAATTCAGGTTCATCATCTTCAACCTTACCTTTCATCATCTTCAACCCTAACAATTGATGCTCAAAGTTCATGACGAAATTTGGTTTTCATGAAACCCAAAAAATTTGTAAAATATGAAATTAAGCACCACCAAATTAGGTTCGAAAATGGAGTGGAGTCCAATCTAATGGCAGGCGCCGACAATGACCTCCTCTATCAAGGCCTCGACAACGTCGAAGGGGGTGAAGCCCGGTTTGGCTAGTGTGCTTGAAGTGATCAATCCCCCAAACCATCTTCCGATCCCATTCCCAATCCAACAACCCTAAATTCAACAAATGTAGAGGAGCACTCCACTCCAGAAACGATGTGGCAGCGCAGCAGACATCATCATCAATATATGCCTGTGTTGTCTCAAACAGCAGATCTGGAGTCATTTTCAACATTTTCCTCGCGCCCAATCTCTTTGTTAGCAATGCCAATGGAATATATCTCCCCTTACACCGCGACCCCAACGAAAGAAGATCCAATCCAATCTTCACCAAAAACTCCTTTATTCTCTCCCCATCCTCACATAGGAAAGACTGAATGTCGAGAAATGCACCTGCTTCACTGTTTGACTCAGAGGATCCTCCAAGTTATTCCAAATAATCCTAAGCAACCGCACCCTATTTCCTTCGGAATTGGCTCATACTCCTCGGACATATTAGTTAAACCCACCAACAATGACACCTTAATCTGCTGCAAACAAATCTGCATCACCGTCAGCGCATGAAAATTGAAGTGACTATCAAGAGGATTCTCACAGAATCTACACAGGGCAGGCTCATTCTCACAAATGTAGAAGATACAAAGTATGAGATTGGAAGAATAGGCGGCAGAGTATGGCTTGCGTCTAGGTTTCACGTCTAGGGTTCTTCAGGTTGTGAAATTTGGGATTTCTCAGCAAGTTTATGTGAGGCCTGATTCAAATGTAATTTGAAATTGATTTTTGAATTTCTTCTCACAGGTTTGATGCATAGGGAAGATGATTTTTGAGTGGTGCTTCATTGCAAGAGAAGATTATCCTTTTTTTAATGTTTTAATCAAACATTTTTCACGTTAAACTTAAGAAATATCACGTAACACCCTGCTTATTTAAGTCATCAAAAGCTTAATCGCGTTAAGCCAATTTAACAGCAGTGACCCAATTGAGTCAATTTTTCACTTTTAAGAACTAAATTGGGGAAACCGATAATACGAGATCTAACTGAGAAAAACTCACATAAATAAGAACTTCTGAAGGGCTTTAACCTTTAAATTATGTATTCTAAATTAATTTTCACTTATGGATTAACTAATTTAGAACTAATTTTTTACAATTTTGGATTTCGATTGATTATTTAATTCTTATTAATCCTCGTGCTTGTTCTTTTTAACTACGTAATCTATTAATAACGTAGAAAAATATGCAATATGAACCGCCAAGATCTTTGGTAGAAGACAATTTGCATTCTTGTTAATAAAAAGTTCTTGAGCTTTATCAAAGATTTTTTTATTTCTTTTTATGTTTAAACTTTTAGACTTATCTTCCATGCATAGTTAATATTGTGACTTCTATAAATTTCTACTCTATTTTATGTATTTCTGTTTTCTCCTAGATTCATGTCAAATACGAATCAGGATTCTCCATCCTTTAGAACTTGTCACCTAAGACTTATCTCAAGTTTCTACTAATAAACATGTTATCTACATCATCTAAATTATCATCAAATGATACATTAATTAAATGACGTTGACATATTCAAGAATGCTCTAAGCACATAATGTACTTTACAATTATCAACAGATAAAATATTTAATACTATATAAAAAATTAAAACCATAGGAAAACACTAGAAGGTTTGCGTACTCGTTGTAACCTAAAGAGATTTGTGTACTCATTATAATCATTTGTTAATTAGTAGAACCTTTTAATTTGTGTATCTTATAAAGCTTTTCACGTAATATCATATAAAGTTAGCTTTTATATGCTTTATCATTTAGACTTATACATAATGCTTAGTTCAAATGTAAGGATTTTTTAATACTCTATTAGAAATTTTCTATTGTTTAACGCTAGGCTGAGTTCACTTTATTGATTAGACACTTATATATGTTTTTCAATATCATTTAGTGGCTTTCGTTACATGATATGTTTTACATCTTGCTTGATAAAATGTTGTTTGAGTCTCAAAGAGACCTTTCTCCTAGTAAGATGTTATTTGTTACCCATATTGTCTATTAGATGATTTTTTAAAAAACAAAACTTTCTTTCATTAGACATTGTTTTCTATAGGCAATATTTCATTAAGTATTGTTTGATAAACTTCAAAACCTAGGTTGCTAAACATTATGATTTTGTCTCAACAAATTTTAATGAGGAATCATACTAAAGTGTGGTGATTTTAGGCTCTAGGTGTTAGGGATAGACCTAAAGTTACAGCTAAGTGAACTCCTAGGACTTGATCATTTGCAACACCATATTTGAATATAAATATGATACAAGAGAGGAAAAAGTGGTGGAGTCAAACTTCAACACGGTTAGATCAACTGAAAGTCACTCACTTGGTAATCCAAATTGTTTCCAACGTATTTCACAGTGATTTTATAAACCAAATCTAATTTCTACTTACCAAAATCATTACTAATTTATATTAAACGATCAAGATAGTTAAAACATAATGTTTTATGTCAAATCATTGTAACACTATTATACTATAATCTACCTAGTAGGCTTGCTGGTATACTTGAGAGAAAGAGATTGCTATTGAACCGAATGCTCAAATCGTACATATAATACTGAAGTCTACATATAAGAGTTTAACTATTTCTAAGTAATTAATATATAGGTTTAAACCATCGTTTGGTTCTCGTATTTGTGTGTCAATCTCAAGTGGGTCCTCATTTTTTTTTTCGGTCTCAATCGGATTCATAAACTTGTAAAATTGAGCCAATTAAGCTCTCTCCGTTAAGTTTTCACTGACGACGTCTAAACTTGTATATTAAATTGAATGGGTAATTTGTTGTACAATCAACAATTCCACGTGGATGTGTTAAATTTTTATACTTTTTCTACTGCCACAGAAAACCCGAAACCCTCCCAAAATCGCCCCATCGGCCGCGGCGGCCTTTGGATCTTTTGTGTTGGGGCTTTTCCTTGGATCTTTGGTGTTGTCTTGGTTGCAGGTTTGTGTTCTCCTCTCTCTCGTTCCTTTTTTTCTCTCTATCTCTCTCTCGCACTGCTTATTGATGCTCTCAAAACTTTATCTATATATGCCTCTCTGATGCAACGGGTGCCTCCAATTTTCCGGCAACCTTCAAACTTTCCGTTGCCGGCTCCGATTCAGATTATTTTCCGGTATGAATCATTTGCGACATCCCCTTTGTTGATTTAGAAATGCTAGATCTACTCATCGTGTCACACGTTCGATCTAAAACCTGGTTCCACAAGAGGAAAAAAAACCTCCCATCGTTTCCACAAGCACTAGTTATATTTCCCTTCCAATTTCACAAAACTATATTGTAATTTTCAAATTGTACAGCTAGAATATCTTTCATTTTTTAATTTATTTTTATACTTCCTTTATTGTTCAATTTTCGTTGTCGGGTTTGCAAAGGTTGTACAATTAGGGTTGGTGGTGTGTTTGAAGGAAAGAAAAGATTTTGAATCTGGGTTTTTGTTGGATGGTGGAGAATATGGATCGCGACTTAGGGTTTTGATTTGGGGCTTTTCCTGGATCTTTTGTGTTGTCTTGGTTGCAGGTTTGAATGGAGGCAGCGCGTAGAGATTGGAGAGGTTGGGGTTTTAAGGTTTTTCGTGATTCTAGGTTGGTGATGAAGGCGCGATGTGATGGTGAAGAAGATGATTTCGCTGCTACGATTTGGGTTGCAGGTGAACTACGCGAGGAGGTGATGGTTGCGCGAGGTGATGGCGACACTGTGCTAGGGTTTGGTGGCGGCGAGAGTGTGGTGATGACAGCGCTCGTGGTTCATGGTGGAGTGATGAGGTTGCTCGCGATAGGCAGTGGCGTGATTCATTGTGTGGGTGGTGGCGCATGATGGAGGATGGTTGTCCAACGAGATGAGCATGGTGGTTGGCCATGGCAGCGAGGATGGTGGGGAATGATACTGTTGCGGAGGCTAGCTTCACCTAAAAAAATTCCACGTAATATAACACTACTACATCAACATTTTAAGTGTGCACCACGTCATCACAGGCAGACGACGTCAGTGATAACTTAACAAAGAGAGCTTAATTGGCTCATTTTTACAAGTTTATGGACCTGATTGAGACCGAAAAAAAACGAGAACCCACTTAAGATTGACACACAAATACGAGGACAAAACGAGGGTTTAAACCTAATATATATCTCAACATTATACCCAAATCAAAAGCACTTTTGGTTTTCGGCGGGTAACATTCCAATTCTAATTGATTTTTTTTATAATTAATAAAATAAAATGATTAAATTTAACAATTCGTTATAATTTATATTTTACATTTTATTATATTGATATTTGAATTTTAATAATCTATCTATTTTTGTAGCTAATATAACTATTTAAAGTTTTTGAAATCTCACTCGTTGAATCGATGATCATTAATATTTAATATTATATTAGGTTAATTTATTCTTAAAGTGTATTCTAAACTTCTCAAATTTCACCTTTTGAATTTTATTTACTTTTTTTCACTTGTCCCCACTCTATGCATAAACATATAAATAAAAGGCATAATACCCTTTTTGGTCCCCACTTTCGTTGGACAATGTCAATTCAGTCCTCATTTTTAAAAGTGTTTGAAATATGTCCACAGTTAATAAAATTTGGGTCTAATTTGTCCCTTCTGTTAAGTATAACTAAACGGAATTAGTGCATTGATAATCTAGCACAGTTATGGCAACGTATCAATATATTGTTTTGTACGGTGTTGACCTGTTAATAAAACACCATATTGAGGTTTTTTAAAGTTAGAGTTTTTATATTAGGGACAAAATTGATTCAGGGTTTCTACATCGCGACACGGACGTCAACCTCTCCCTCCTCGGCGACGCCGACATCAGCCTCTCCCTCCCCGGTGACGCCTTCGACCTCGTCGTCCGTGCCAAGACCGCCCTCGAACTGGCCTGCCCAAACACCGTCTCCTGCGCCGACATCCTCTCTGTCGCAACCCGCAACCTTCTGACCATGCTCGGCTGCCCTTTCTACCCCGTTTTCCTCAAGCGTCGTGACGACCGCTTCTCTTCCGCCACCTGCTTTCACCTCTCCTTCCTCTGCCCTTGCTCGCCGCCTTCCCTCCCACTGCCCCTCCCAATGCAACCTCATCAAAACTCCCTCCCACCTATTCCTTGACTGTAGATCCACCCACCATTCCCCTTAGTAGTCAGACTCCCCCTACCTAACCGACATCCTCGGCTTCCTCCAACAGTTCCTCAATAAAGGAATCCAACTCGATTGGGACCAAAGTCGTGACCCATACTTCACTAACTGCATTGTCTACCGCGCTAACAGCGACACCTACGGGTTCAACTCATCCTCCCAGAACAAACCATTCCTCTGCTTTCGCTACCACTCCCAATCCACACTTACCCCACCATGGATTCGCAAATACAAACTGAACAAAATGGCTTTTTTCGCTGTCGCTACCCACAACTTCGACCCCAAGTGGAAAATCAGGGACGCGCGGGTTTGGGTCCGTCTACCTTGCGCAGCTCCATGATGGTCGCCTTGTGGCGGTGAAATACCTCCATCGCAACCACTCCTCTGTCGTGTTCTCTACCAAGTCCTTCTGTAACGAGATCTTCATCCTCTCCTCGATCCACCACGCGAACCTGGTGAAGCTCCATGGTTACTGCAGCGACTTGAGGGGAAGGAGAGGAAGAAGACCCACCGTTGAGAAGAAGACAAATTTAAAGAAGACCCTGTCTATGCCCTAAATCACATTTTCCCCAAATTAAAAAACCCTAAAAAGCTATATCTTTTTTAAGTCAATTACACGTCAGCACGCACAAAACAATATATTGACACGTTGCCATAACTGGTACCAGATCATCAATGCACTAACTCCGTTTGGTTATACTTAACGGAAGGGACAAATTAAACCCAAATTTTACTAACTGTAGACCTATTTCAAACACTTTTAAAAATGAGGACTGAATTGACATTATCTAACGAAAGTGGGGACCAAAGAGGGTATTAAGCCTAAATAAAAATAACAAAAAGGGTTAACTTGCCATCTGAAAAAAATATACTTTATTAATACATTTATATTCTTTGTTCATAACATCTAAGGTGAGAGAGTTTGATATCTTTTTAATAATGTTTTAATATCATCTACGTGTATGTGATTGGTGCAAAATTATTTCATAATCAATAATAATAATCATAAACACTAACGTGGGCTAATCACATAATAACACATAAATAGTGTTAAAATGTTATAAAAGAAATTGTTATCAAATACGTAAATGGTATTAAAATGTTATAAAAAAAATTGTTATGAAAGTATAATTGTCCGTGTTTCTCAAAATTTTCAATAAAATGTAATCTAAAATAGAAAATGCATAAAGTTAAATAAAATAAAATAGAAAATGTGAGTGAAATTTGTCTAAAGTAATAAATCCGTGAAAGTGCAAAATCAAAACATCTTGGTTTAGTGCGTCTTCAACCCGTAAAGGCTAGATTCGCTGCTTGGTCTTCGAACTTTCCTGAACACATTCTTTTACTCCAAAGCATGACTATTTTCTTCATCTTCATTTAGTTTCGTTTTCAATCCATCATTCTTTCTGCGATATCATATGGCTCACAATCACAACTCCACCGATTCTCCTCTCTCTCGTCGTATAGTTCGTGCCTTCCTCCACTTCCTAAATTCTGGTATTATTCTTCTCATTCATTCCTCACCAAGAATCACTTTCCAATTTAACTGCAACTGCAAGGTTTTATCTTTATCGGCTATCTATGCATATTGACCAATTTTATCAACTGGGTAGATTTATTTGTCGTGATTAATTAGGTTCCAGTTGCCAATTGTCGTTTTAATTGTATTGAGTTTGATAGAGTGGAGAGAATTTGCTGTATGATTTGCATTTATGTTACCAATTTTGTTTCTTATTTTTCTTTTTATTGCGATCAATGCATGCTCTCTAATTTGGTTCGTCTGGAATAGTTGAACCGGGTCCCGGGGTTGATGCTGAGGGGATTCAGGTTGCTAGAGAGTGTTTGACAGAGGCTTTCAAACTTAATTCTTCTTCTGTGGATGGGGATGATGGGACATCTGAATCTTTGATTGACATATTCAAGTCTCTTGAAGCTAACAAGCAAAATGAAACTAGAAAGTCGGATGTTGATACTCAATGGAATTGTGCGAATGCTTCCAGTTCATTCTCTGGTGAGAATCCTGCTCGTGGGATGAATCATTCTGAGGCGTCAAAATCTACGGTTAATTGACTTCACACTTACCCTCATATGCCATTGCATTAGACTAGTTCGTTAACATTTTTGGTTGTTATATTTTACTTTTTTTTGGTGGGGCCTTCCTCTTTGATGGATTGAATTAATGTTTTCCATCATCTGTCAGTTGATTGGAACGTGCATGTCATTTTTCATGGTTCACACTTTTCATGAATTGTTCTCATTTAACTAGTGCATGGTGAGCATGTGATATGTGATTTACCCAACCATTCAAATAGACATAGTTTAACGTCTTGTTTTATCCCTGTACCTAACTATTGAAATTATCGGGATTTACCTCAAGAAGGAAGAATAAAACACAAATTTTGAATAATGGAAATATAACTTCAAACTTCAATATTCACACTAGCTAACAAGTTGAAGCCTTCCAGAAAACCTATCATAAGGAGCTCAAGTTTTACTGAACAAAACCAGAAATCAGTCACTTAAAATAAAATTCCTGTCAATAACCTAGTAACCTGTAAAAGGCCAGGGAAATTTGTCTTCTATTGGCAGTCTCTTGCAGTTGGAACCAAAATGCACAAACCTCATGTGCCACGTGTTTATGTGATGTAGGGACTTAACAGGCCACATAAGCTGATCTATTCTATTAAAGTAATATTCCTCACTTATCGCCTCAACTGACATGAGGAACCATGTTTATTTCCAGGGACTTCTTTTTTAATTTCAATAGTTCAAAGCACTAAGGTTACAACATATGACTAGTTTTTGGACTAACTAGGGAGCTTACTCCTTTATTTATTAAATTAGACTATAAATTCTAATTTAGTGAATAAGCATGTGATGAAATGTAATGAGATATAAAATCATCATGCATATTCACCTGGTAGCGTAAGCTTTTGGGATAGTTGGTTCATGACGTGATATAGCCTCTATGACCTATGGTTATGATTCATGCCTTCAATCCTTGTTGTACCTGTTCATCAATCCTTTCTAAGCCTGTGCATGGTGCACATTTCAAGTTCAAGAATCTCTTGCTTGTGGGTGTGTGATTTAGAACCATTGACGTGACTTTCCTAATAGCTTAACTTTTGGGATGGATGATTTGTGACTGTAATATAGATAGTTGGTTTGCAGCTAAGCAGCTGCAGAAATTAGAAGATTAATTTTGATCTTTTAACTTAATGGGTAATATTGGTTTTGCTAATAGTAGTTAATAATCAATTTTGTAATATTGATGCTGAGTTATTTCATGATATACATGTCTATGCATTAACTGTTTTTGTAGCACATAAAAAATCACATTAAAATAGTTTATTACTGAAATTTTGATTCAGTTCTATTTTATTTCGTTATATGTAACTTGATCAGGTTGAAGATTCAACACAGGAACCTTGTACTTTTGGTAGGATAACATGTCTCCTTTATTTTATTTAAATTTGAGTTATTGTATACTTTTAAACCTTCATTTAGAAAATATTTTTATATTATTTATTTATCATCTCAAGGTTATCAAAGACAGACATATCTAGGTTTATAGTTTTGAAATTGTAACATTTAAAATCTTTATTTGTTATACCTTGAGAAGCCTCTTGGACGTAGACCCCTTCATCATACATTGCTACATATATTAATAACTAAACGATTTTAGTTTTCTCTTACATGACAAGGTCTGACACAATACTTCTTTTCATAGTCAATTTCATGGAAGTAAAGGTTGCAGTTTTCTGATATAATTTTCGAATGGCAATTTCTTAATGTGGTTAACATATCTATATGTTTTTTCTGATGGTGAATGGGTAAAAGGGAAGGGAATAAAATTTTCATTGATAATCAAGATATTAAACAGCAACAAGGTGTTGCTTTTGTTAATTATTATAAAAAAAAGTTATTGTTAATCTAGATTCTAGATGAGTCTGTTTAGGTTTTCTTTAATGTGCTCCTTGATGATAGGGTAAGAAATAGACAATAGGAAATATTAAACGAAATGTAAAAGCATGCTATATTTTGAAAAATCTGAAAATCATATAGAACTTCCTTCTTATATATTACCATGAGTAATGAATGCTATTTTTTTTCTTATTTTTTGACATTTATCATTAAGGTGCACTTTTGCGAAAGCTTTTCTTTATAGGATAAAGGGAAATGGATTTTTAAGTCAAAGAAAAAAGATGATTCTGCATACTTAGAAAGACAAGATATCCTCTAAAAACTTGATAATAACTACCAAAGGTGATTGATAATTACAACCATCGGATAATGATTTCTAGATTTATTTTGGACTGAACTGGTGTACTTGAGAATTAAACTGTAAAATAATTCTAGAGGGCTTGACTGATCCCTCTCATGATCTTCTATTTATAAGAATAAATTGATACAAGAGTACATGATAAATAGGGTAACCCTAGACACAATACAATCATGATAAATAGGGTAACCCTAGACACAATATAATCATGATAAATAGGGTAACCCTTGACACAATATAATCATGATAAATAGGGTAACCCTTGACACAATATAATCATAATAAATAGGGTAACCCTTGACACAATATAATGATGATAAAATAGGATAAATACCCTAATAGGTGTCTTAAAATGTTCTAAGTTAAATTGATGTTCTTAAAATTTGAGTGCAGCATCTAAAGATGAACTGTGCGGACAATTCTTTGCTGCTTTGGAGAAAAATCACTATTTCAGGAGAAATACTGATGGGAGTGATGACATAGTGCAACTGGAGAAAGCATGTTCTTTTTTTGATGAAGGTTGTAAGGTATGACATATTATGTCATGTATAAACATATGTTGCTCTTACTACAGTTATTATTTTATTAAATTTGGTTTATTTCTATCCTGCCATAGACAATTAATTCTTACTGGAAAAAAAATCAAAATTAAATTAATACTATGCTACTGATTTGTAATCAGAACCCAATATGATGCATTTTCTAACGTCACACTTTAAAACTCAAAATAACTTAATACTATACTACTGATTTTTAATCAGAACCCAAAATAGTGCATTTTCTAACCTCACAATTGTTGTTCAAGAACCCAACATGTGGTTCTAGAACCATTTTGCTTGCTTTATTTAACTCATAAAAATGTTGCAAGTTCTATGCACTCTTAATTTGTCATGTCCTGAGCAACTTCATGGAGCAGGTTGGAACTCCAGAAATTAGGTATAGTTTTGCTGGTATTGGCCTTCCCCAATTCAAATTGTGAATCAAATAACGGTGATGCTGTACCACTTCTTGGAATTTATTGAAGGATGGAAAATGGTGGTGGAATTTCTTAGAGATAATAGAGAGACAAGGAAGACAAAGACCTATATAAAAACATGTACAGCCCAAAGAAAGAACATAGAGAAAACAAATTTTCTTTGATTTCTAGAGTTAGTGCATGTTTGTTCGAGTGGTTTCTTGAGAGAGCCTTTTGAAAAATAAGCAATTAGTTTTGAGAAACAGTTGCAAGTGCGATGGGAAAATGGAAGGGGATTGCCACAGGTTACTCGATAAGATCAAGTTTGGGTTCTCCATAACTCAGAACTGAAAACTGACTTTTCTTTTAAATTTATATGTCCCATTGCATTACAAGTACATCGTTTTATGTAGGCTAAATTTTATGTGTCACACTCTAGACAACCACCATAATAAGGCCCTCCAAATTCCACATTAATTCTCACTAAGTAATGTCCACTAGTGATTAGCTCCCTCCAGTGTTTCCTTTTCCCATGGCTAGTGTTACCTTTAATTACCACTATATGCCTCATTACTTCCTATTATAAGAACATGAATGATTCACCTCTTGTGTTGTTTTCACCTTCCCATGTGGCAATTTAGCTTATTAATTAAAAAAACATAATAAAAATTATAAAGAAAACCTAAAATTTTATTGACCTCCTCTAGATATTAAAATGTGTGTTTAGACAATACCTGAACATGATAGTTTTACCAATGTGGGTGCAGCCGGTCTTTGTGTTCGTATTCAATAATTAGGCTAGCTGGGCAATTTAAAACAGAGTATAAATACTTATTTAGTCACTAACTTTCAATCCCCACTCCTCAAGTTGGTTGGTAGATGTCATACTCAACTTGTTCTAATCAACCTTACTCCCATTAAGATATCAACTATCTATTGTTGAGTCCAGTGGATACAATTTCTCTCCCCTCCCTTCTCACCATCCCCCTCGCCCTACTCCAACTCTAAAGGAAAATACAATCAGTTTTTTTTTCTTTTGTTTTTTATTCATTCATGAAATATTGAGTTTGAGGTTGAGATTGAAACAGAAAAATATATTTCTAGAGGGCTTGATTGATCCCTCTTTATTTATAATAAAGAACTGATACAAGAGTACATGAAAGTTTAAGGGATTGCACTAGATACCTAGGTGCAAAACTAGGTACTACTATATATACAACTCATAAAAACTAGCACACTACATCCTAAGTAGGCTTAATGATGATACATAGATGTAATTATTCTAACAGTTAACAGGAAGTTGAATGTCCAACAAATCTTCATAGGTGGCTGGTGGCCCTTGCAACTCATTACAAGTTTCACTTTACACTTGATCTTACATTTAATTTCTTACTTTCCTAACAGATTAAATTTCCTTCTAGGAACACATGATAACTACAAGGGCTATTTCTAATCTTTAGGAAATCTAGTTGACTCTTACACAGGTGAACCTTGTACTTTTTGCTCCTTTTGTCTTAAAAATTATTTGACAACCCAGGGTTCTTGCCAAATACCTTGAGATGTACAATATTGTATCCTAGTGAGGACTTTGAGAAAATAAATGAATTGACTAACCATACTTTATGGCAAAGAAATGTCTCAATGTGTCATAGTATGATAATTAAGTTTATCAACCAGTTTCACGTAACTGTCTAGTTCAGATTGTAACCTCGAGTTTCACATTTAGAACTATGAAAGTGTCACTGGTAAGGATGACAGTGTGGTTCCTCTTCTATTGCATTCCATCAAGAGTTGATCATATTATATAAAAGGAGCAAGACTATGTCGAATGACACAAATGTTTACCCAATTGGAATGGGAATATCTAAAACTGGATATTGAGAGCTTGAAGCGGGTAGTAAGAGCTTGAGGATCATAAATATACAGTTGCTATCTCTACGTAGTTAAAATAATGCACTTTGCAATCTCTGCTATTATTCTTGTATTATTATGTAATTCATTTAATATCTTTCTTTTTGTCTTGTTAATACTACAACAGCAGTCAAGTCTTATACCACTTGATGGGGTTGCTATGCAGATCAATCGACATTGGACTGATGGGTTCTATCAGAACAAATTTTAGTAAAACTGTCTGTTTAATTCTGATGAAATCTGCTTCTATGTAGGAGATGGTAAGATCTGGTTGTCAGCAGTTCTGTTTGATGAGTTTGGCCGAATCACTAAAAACATTAGGTATGATAAGTGACTTTAACTTTAAGAGGTTTGCTTTTTCTTTGGATGAATAAAAGTTTTCTATCTTGAACACACTCAGCTGTGATTTACGTGGTGTGTAAACAAGAAAACCTGAATCAGTGGGTAGCATTCCTGACCTGATTTAGTAGGGACTTCCCACTGCATTCCTGTCCTCGCCTTGCTACGTTTGTTTTTTCATATATATATATATAGTATCACTATATAACTTTTGTGTGTTGTTTGAATTATAATATAGATACTAACTTTATTACTTATTTAAAGATGTATAAGTAAATTAAAATTGAAAAAATGATATGGTGGGTTTCCAAACAGGCCTAAATACATCCTTCATTACTAACAATTTAATCATCCAATGTTTTTCTTTTTAAATCAAAATGGAATGTAACACATTTCTAAAGTTGTTATAAGCCAACACATGTCTTTATATTTTACTGCAGATTGGTTTGATTAGATTGTTTTTCAATTTGAATCTATTAAAGTTTGATAAAGAATATTGGTATTTATCGCAACTTGATATAGTACTTGAAATTTGCTTTTCACTCAGGTAACAAGGCAATGCAGTCTAAGAAATACAATGATGCAATTGAGTTGTATAATTGTGCTGTTGCACTCAATGAAAAGAATGCTGTTTACTTCTGCAACAGGTATTCCTCTGGTCTACACCCTTTCTAAAATTAAAAAAAAAAAGCGTATTTAGGCTGGAAACAAGAACTTCAAAAGAAAAAGAAAGTTGTTTGTTAGTTTTTCCGATTCATAATTGCTTAGGCACCTGCATATTTAACTGATGAAACTACATTTCGTGCCTTCATTTTTTTACATATATCAGGGCAGCTGCTTACACTCAGATTAACAAATATTCGGAAGCAATTCAAGATTGTCTTAGATCTATCAAGATTGATCCAAACTACAGCAAGGCATACAGTCGTCTGGGTTTGGTTTATTATGCTCAAGGAAATTACAGAGATGCTATTGATAAAGGGTTTAGAAAAGGTTGGGAAAGAACTATATTCATTCCCAAAATTTATTCTTTGTAATCTGTTTTATTGTGTTTTTACTGGACATTATCGGATAATGTTGACTTTATTGTTGTTATCTACTATTACAAAGGTGGAGATCCATCACCTTAATTTTGTAATGTTAATCAGAACTAAACTTTTCTCAAAAGTTCATAAATGGTTAGCTTCTTTTATGCCATTGGGGTTTCCTACCCCTGATGGAACATATGATGAACACTATAATCTAAAGAATTGATTTGGGTGAAAATGAATTCTGTGTTTATTAGAACTATAGTTGGAAAATGATTCAGTGTGCAGACTTTTATAGGTGTTATTAATTTATATGTATAGGATCCAAGGTGTTTGGAATTTGGAAATCTTAAATCCTGTGAATCTCGATCTCAATGTATTTACCTTGGCATATTTTGTATATGCAGCGTTGCAGTTGGATCCAAATAATGGCTCTGTCAAAGAAAATATCCGGGTTTATTTTATTTTAACTTTTCCTTCTGCTTCTCTTGTTACTTTTTCTGTGATTATAATGCTGCCTTTAAACACAGGTGGCTGAGCAGAAATTGTTCGAAGAGCAAAACCGTGCACATCACAACCAGGTATTATTAGTATTACTATTATCATTTAAATAGATATGGTATAGTTTTAATTTGAATAGCATGATTTGATGCGTGTGATTCATCACTACATATATACTTCGTAGTTATCTTTTCTTTTTCTCTTCAGACATAATATTTATTGGTGTTTGTTTCACGGAATTATATTATATTTTCAGGAATCATATTCCTTGAAATATTATAAGCTAGAAATAAAACTTATAGCTACACTTAAAATGGTGTTTGGTTACATTTTACTATTTCTTGGAATATTTTAAATTCAAAACAATTTAAATAAAAGATTAGTAAAAATGAAAGAAAGAAGTTTAATAGTAAAGAAATTCCCATATTCCCACCTCATTATGGGAATAGAAGATAATCTCCATTATGGAAATAATATAGTTTTGTTCATTTATCTTTCAGTATTAGTTTACTCTGAATATATTGCAGTTGTTGCTTCATACTAAATTGTCAGCGAACATTTTTACTTTTCTCCTACATCGAGCAGTGACTTCAATTCCTTTTTTTCTTCTTGATAGTTTTTATTTCTGTTAAGAGATGTTTGTAATATTTCTGATGACTGTTTGCTACTTTACTATAACATATTGTCTTCAATTCAACAAATTTCTCTCTGCATTCTGTATAGAATCCAACAAGATCATCGCAAGAAGTTCCAAACCAATCAGGAAGCACACCCCTGCCACCCACATTTTCTTCTGTGCCATTTAACCCCAGCCAAATGGCAAACATGCTCAGGCATATGACCTCAAACGCTACAAATTCACAACAGAGGCCACCGACTGAGGAATGGGAACAAGAAACTACTAGTGAAATTAGATTTGGGGCAGATATTTTAAACATGGAGCAAATTCCGGAGAATCTAACAGGGGCCGTTCAATCTATGATGGAAATTTTATCTAGGACCGTAACCCCGGGGCAACCACCTGAGGATCAAACCAATCCAAGAACAGGACCAAACTAAGCCTTTTCAGCATTAAGAGAATGTAAAGACTATTTTTTGTTTTCCTTTTTTTTAATATATTGCAACAACAGAATTAACTAACCAAGCTCTTTGTGTGTTTACCTCATATACATACAGTGTTTGAGGGGCACTATTCTTTTGGGAAGAAAAATATACTATTTGTCATTCATATTTGTATTTTATTATACCTGTTTTATGAAGTAAAAGACAACTAAATGATCTTATAAGATGATCTTATAAGATGATCTTAAAATACCATTAAGGATATTGTAATATAATTTAGTTTTATTTTATTATTATAGCTTCCGAACATATTGAACTATTTATCTCCGTAAACTTATTATATACTTTTTTTCAGCTATTTTTGTGATATTCCAATAAAAATTAGTTTGCAATTCTTTTATAAGAATTAAAGGTGAGAAAAAAAAATGCAAACGGTAAAGTTTAATCAATAATTATTCAATTTTATATTACTCTAATTTAAATAAAATTATCTTAAATTTAAATTCATATTTTTGGTTTTAAGTTCATTTAATTAAATTTAGATTGGATATAGATGGAATAAATTTTTTCATTTTGAAAATTAAAAATAAATATGCTTTTTGATCATTTTAATTTATGAAATGTTTATATCTAAGTGAAGTAGCACTATTTGAATTAGGATAAACTTGCATTCAGACAAATCAATGCGTATTCATGTTCATTTGAGTTAGAACTAAACCATATTTAGTTGAGTTAGGCTTGTTACATGATGATTTTGGTTCAATTAAAACTAGGTTAAGTAAGGTTTAAGTTAAGTCGAATTAGTCTAAGCTCAAGTTAAGTCGAGTTAATCTAAGCTTAAGTTAAGTCGAGTTAATCTAAGCTCAAGTTAAGTTAGCTTAAGTCTAAGTCGACCTGATGCAGAACGAGTCTACATTTGATAGAGTTGAAGTGAGTCTAATTCATTTGAGGTTGGTTAAGCTTAGGTTGATCCTAGTTCAATCAAAACCATATTGATCCTGACATGATTAAAACTAGGTTGAGTAGGATAACATTTAGTCTAGTTGGAAGTCTCACATTGATTAGAAATAAGGTTAATTTATAGTATACAATTGGATGTTAACCTCATCTTACAAGTCGGTTTTGTGGGATTGAATTAGGCTTAAAGTCCACTTCTTAACATATTATCAGAGCTAGGTTCCTTTGAGAAAAAAAGTTTTTTTTGCCTCTACCACAATATTTGTCGTTGTCGGTAGCGACGTTGCCTATTCTTGCTGCTGGCAGTGCCATTGTCTACCATTGTCATTATTGAAGTTATAGTTTCGATTGACGATCACACCGTATTGATTGTCTTGGTCAGGCGACCACCGTACCATTAGATGCCTTCATCGGAGCTCTTACACTCTCTTAGTGCCTTTGTCTTTTGAAGTTGTGGATTTGCTCCCTTTTCCTTCATGCATGGTAGCACGTCTTGCAGTGATTCGGAGTGTTGAGGTTGCTCTTTTTCCTTTTTAGGTTCATCGTGCATGGTCGTACGTCTCGTCTCCTCTTAGACATTTATTTAGAGCATTGAGGTTGTTTTCTTTTTCTTTTTCAAGTGCCTTGATTAGAGAATATTGGATTTTTAAGGTTTCTCTCTCCTGTTTATCCATGACTTCTTCTACTACTGTCTCTTCTACTTCCCTTCTGTCACCATTGCATTTGACCCGTTTATATAAGATTTTTTCTCCCATGGCAAATATACGGCTTTTGTTAGTCTATCTATAGTCGTAGTGGCTCTTCAACAATGACCTCTTTATCCACTGGATATCAACAATGCATTCCTTAACGACGATTTGCAGGAAGATATTTACATGGAGCAACCTCTCAGATTTGTTGTTCAGGAGGAGTCTTCAGGGTTGGTATTTCGTCTTTTATGTCGTCTTCGTAAATCATTAACAATTGAGTGTCACTCGAGTGTAGAAGCATATATTTTCACTAAGTCTATTGATTATATTAGTAGTAAGTTTAGTATATGTAATTTGTATGCACAAGCTTAAGGGGGAGTGTAGATATATTATGTTTATCTTATCTTTATATGTTATCTTTAGTTAGTTTGTTATTATTTCTTATTGGTATTTTGGGCTTAGCCCATATTCTTCTATTATAAATAGAGTACTATATGTGTATATTCAATATAAGGGAGATTAATCCCACATATAATGTTTTAAAACTTTTTGCAAAAACAATGTTTAATAACTATTGCGAGTGTTAGATAAACTGTAGTAATTGTTAGATCCCTGTGATTTCAAGCAAGTGTTTAGGAAAACGTCTTAAACAGGAAAATAAATAACACAAGTATTTTTATAGTGATTCACTCAACCTAAGATACGTCTAGTCTCCCTTAACACCTTTTAAGGGGTTCCACTAATCTTATACAAGATCACAAACAAGTATAACTTTCTCCTGGTATACAATTATTATCAACAACTTCTAGTTCCCCTAATCAACTTCACTAGTCTGAGTTTAGCCATTTTTGGTATCAACCCTAGACAACCTATCTAGAATGTTTAACTCAACTAAGTTAAATAATACAAGTGTTTTAATTCACTTATGAATAAACAAACATAATCAGTATTTTGATTACAAGTATATATTCAAATAAATCTTAAAGAAAGGATAAATTCAATACTACGAAATATGATAACTTGAAAGACTTTTTTCTTTTTCTAAGAATAGAATAAGACGATGTAAACTTTTAGAGAGATAACAGTGTAACGATTCAATGATAGCAAAAGTTCTTCTATTCTCTTCTGTGAGTTCTCCTTATATAGCTTTATTCGAGAGATTATCGTTACTTAGAAAGAGTTGACCTTTTTTAGAGTAAGTGGCTTCTTGTACGAAGATTTGTACTTTTTTGCATCTTAGGAAGAGCAACATTGCTTTAACAATGAGAGCTTGTACGACTATGGCAGAACATAAAGCTTTAGGGAAACATTTCAAGAATGTTTTCCTATTTCTCAATGTCTTTCTGATATGTGTGTAGTGCTTTTGAGTAAAGTTTGGTGTTGTCATTATCTGCACAAATAAAGAGAGAAAAAACAAAAAAGACAAAAGTATAGTACGTTCATGCACTTCTCTTAGACGTTACAGTTCACTAAACAATATTTTCGTTAAGTGTTGTATGTTAAACTTAAAACTCGAGTGGCTAGACAATCTAGTCTCTCTAGAAAATCTTGTCTTAACATCAGGTTGGTGTCATGTCAAGCTAAGTTAGGTTGAACCCATGCCACATCGAGCTAAGTGGGTCTAATCCTATGTTTAGTTAAGCCATGGTAGGCATAAGTCAGGCTAACTCTAATAGGAATTAGGTTAGGTTGGTCCAATATTAAGCTAAGTTTGATTGAGTCTAAGTCTAAGTCGAATTCCAGTGGGATCAAGACGGATTTGGCCAAATGAAGTTGAGTTTATATTTGAGTTGATCCTATGTTAAAGTTGATTATGTTGATCTCACATCCAATTTAATCTAATTAACAAAATGAATATTAATTTGAAAAATGTTAATCCATGATCACATCTAATTTAATTCGAAATGTTTTTATATTAACTATGTTTGTAACATCCCAAAAATATAGTATAAAACCATATCATAGAATACTCACATATTAACAATATTACAGATTAGTTCAGAAAGGAAGGATATGTTTATGGCCGAATGACCTTACAAAATACTACAGAATTTAAAATTTTACAAAGCTAAATACTGGACCGAACAGTTCCAATAAAACAATCTTAATTGAACAGTTATATAGAAAGAAAATCTCTAATTGCCGAACGGTCTTAAGGTTCAGCCTTAACCTCCACTTCTTCCAAGGCTTCTTCCAACAAGCACTCTTCCCCTTCTGCTCACATCCACAGGATGATCATTCCAACAGGAATAACAACAGAATGAACAAAACATACAAGATAAGAAATAGGGTAAGCTTATGTAATTTAATTAATTCAGTAAGACATATATTTCTCATAAATCTGATATAATTCCATAGTCAATTATTCAACAACCAATCATACATTTCCAACCATAATTATTCATCATTGCATGGAATGACCAACCATTTGACTCTGACTATCCGGACTGTATGAATTCTGTGTAGCTACAACGTTTGTGCACCCGGGTCATATAGTAGCTGGGATGCCCTCAACCGCCGCAACCCGAGGTTAGTCTGTTCTTACATCGCACATCTTAACCTTATGGACTAGGACCTCCTGCCATTCTCACACAAGATTTACTCCTCTCTACTTGAGAATGAGTAATCATAGAATATCAGGATAAACGCCACCTTAGCATGACAACATTCATACTTTATTATTCCATAACAAATCTTGAGATATTCCTCCCATGAATACTCTTTCATATCCATACCATTTAAATCACATCATACTTTAAAGTCATCATACTTCATTATCAATACAGTCAAACCAAACCAATAAAACCAGATCCCATCTTAAAAAAAAGAATAAAGAGATAACCTAAATCTTAGAAGTAAGACCGACACAAGAGAATATTGTTTAGATTATCATAACCGAACACTTAGTGTAAGACCGAGCGGTCTTTCACTAATCCACGGAACAAGACCGAACGACCCATACGAGACAAGACTCATCAGAAGCCTAACACTTATAATAATAAGGAATGTTTCCTAGATACTCAACCATTTTGACCGAAAGGTCTTTACTAACAGAACTCAAGGAATGTATGGAATACTATAGAATACATATAATTAAACCTAACAAAAGATTATGAAAGTTTTTATCTGAGACCTAAGAGTTTAAACCGAACACTACAAACGAGGGTCGAACACTTTTATTCCAAAAAATATAATTGAGTATTATGATGAGACCAAGCGCTTGGATTAAAACCGAGCATCGCTGAGACCGAGCGCCGGATTTAAGACCGAGCACTACTTAGTTTATACCAAGAATGAAGGAGTATAGATATATCTAATACCATTATGTAACACTTATTTTTAATAAAGGATAATTATAATATCTACAATTTTAGATATTATAGAATACCTTAACTAAGCTAATTTACAAAGAGAAAACTATACTTAGACCAAACGCTTATTTACCAGAGTACTAAGAGAAACACCGATCGGTCATTAACTGAAATTCTCTACAGAAGAAGAATCTAGTTCAAACCAAATACCCAAATGAAAAACCGAACGGTCAATAATGACTCTCGGTGACAAACACAGAATTACGCAAAATGTTGCAGACTAAAGATCAAACACTATCTCAACCCAGTTCACATCATTTATAAATTATCCCCTCATTCAAACAAACATGCAGTAACACCCATACTCCATATTCATCAAATGATCAGACAAACATACAACCATTTAGAACAAGAATCATAATCAAATTATATAAGCTTCCCTTACCTCTTAAACTTAGCCGAAAGCTCATAGTTTGAATATAATAGCTCACCACCAGAAATCTTAGAATCCTACGGATCAAGATTTATGAAACTAAACCAATCAAAAGACCAAAAGTGTGTTCAGAATGAAATGATAACTCATGAAACCAAAAACTTGGTTTGCATGTACCAGAAAACAACAGTTCTAAGAGAGGAATGAACTTACCAGCTCAAACCAGCAACTTGATCGGTGCAAAAGAAAGCTCCTGACACCAGGAAGACTCAAACGTGGTCTGATTAAAGATTGGAAGAAGAAAAAGATGAGAATTCTTAGAGAGAAGAAGAAGAAGATTGTAGAGAGAAGTAGGAGAAATGAAGAACTCAGAATATTTGGAAGAGAATGGTGCATGCAGAAAAATGGCACGAATTTTGCAAACTTAACTTATAAACTATCGTCAAAATCGATCGTCCACTTTGCATCCCACACCTGTCTTCCACTTTCTGAATTTCAGAACCCTTGCACCTACACCTGGCTTCCACTAACTCAGGGTTTTTAAGGGTTCTGACAATGTTTTATAAAAATACTTTAATTACATTATTTATTTTCTCTTAATTCTATATAAAAAAAGTTAGTAGAATATACAAGTGTCATCATAATAGTTTTTCAATTTCTAATTTTTGTTCTAATTTTTTTTTCTTTAGTTTTTTTAATGATATCCTACGTATAGCTGATAATAGTGAATATAATTATACTAATAGGTCGAGGAGGAAGACACCTCAACTTACATGTCCACATAAATCAGAGGGTTCAAAACATCTCGACCAACACTATACTATGGAATGAGATGCTCACATATCCATGTAAGTAGCAAGATAAGTCATAATTAAGTAATAACATATTAAAGGTAAATGTGGATGAGGTTTATCCCTTTTGTTAACAAAAATACGCCATGCAAGGAGTAAGTAATTGGGACAAATGAATATTACACACATTATTAAGGACCTAAGCAAATGTACGTTTTTGTGTTCACACATCTTATGAAGAAGAATTTAGAGAAAGATGATTTTCTGTTATCTTGATCTTGTAAGCAACCCTAAGGAATATGAAACCCCAAAGAAGAAGTCATACATATTCCTTAAGCAACTAACCTCCTTCTAATCAACAACCCTCTAACCACGTGTGCAAATCCAACTACCTCGAACATACAATCATGAACGAGTACTCTACAAGATGCACGACCAATGCTCCACATGTGAAGTCTTCTCCTCTACAAACCATCACTGATAGGAATGGCGAAAAGGGCCAAGCTCGACGGGTAAGCCTGCTAGCTTGGTCAAAAAAGGTAGGCTGGGACAACGTTTTCAATTTTGGAGCCTGAACCAACCCGCCAAGCCCGACAACCTAGCAGGCCAACCTCATGGGTTAGTCGTGCTAGCAGCTTGACATCATAAAAAGAAAATTGAACCAATGCCGTGACAGTTCATATTAACACAGTCCGACAATTCGACCAAAATTCGACCAAAGTCTGATACAACTCAGTCAATGTCTAAAACAACTCGACCAGTATTTGAAACAATCTAAATGATAACTTAAGGAGTTAGACTAGATTGTAAATTTAATCCATTTTCATTTGGCAAGTTAATATAATCTGAGTCATTTTTGACAAACAATTATTGAATCGAGTTTAAACGAAGGACGTAGATTCGTTTTTACCATCCTAACTGAATAGCTATTTACTGCTAGGGTGTGAACAAAATGCACTTTAACTACCAAATTGAATGACTTACATTATTCCTTTAAAGTTTTTTAAATTGTAATGAATATTTCATATTTTGAATTCTCACGTTACAATTATATTAACAATTTTATATATTAAATTGATTTTTGACTATATATACAAATTTAACATCAAACCTTTTTTCATTTTAAATAATTGTAACTTAAGTTTTTTCTAAAAAAAATTAATTTGACTGATATTTTCGGCTTTGTTACCAAAGTAGGCAAAAGTGTGGTATTTATTACCAAAGTAGGCAAAAATTGACTAAAAGTGAAGTCGTGGGGGGTCCAAACGACTTCAAATGAAGAAGTCGTGCCCCCCTGCACGACTTCACACTGTTCATAGCAACAGTGTTGAAGTCGTGCACCCCAAAAACGACTTTTGGGTCCTGTAATCGATTACCATTTTTTGGTAATCGATTACACAATGTTGAAATCTTGACCCCTGCAAGACTGGAAATGTGAAGGCAGAAAACGTACTGGTAATCGATGACGCCATTTTGGTAATCGATTACCAGGTGGGTTATGTTGNGCGCCAAGAGTGGTTTATGGCTCTTCAGGTTCTGCTGTCTGGTTAAACTCTTTTTTGGATTTGCTTTTTCTACGAATTTAAGTGTACACTTTTATTTAACATCTTTTGTTTGATAAGAAATATTAATGTGATGATAACATACTAAAGTGTCGGTCTTATAAATGTTATGACAATGGTGTCATGTTACATCAAGATTTTTGTGAAATATTAAATTCAAGGATAAATTAAAATTCTATTATTAAGATGGTAGAAAAATGAATTTTTTGCAAAAAGTTATGGGATTAAGTTCACGAAATTGAAAAGTATGGAAAATAAAATGTATCTGAGGCAGTTTTCTGGAAAATATTTAAATTTATTAAGTAATTAAGTAAGATAGGATGTTTTGTGTAAAAATGAGTAAGATTAGATTTACGTAATTATAAAAATATAGGTTTACGCTTGACATTTTATATCTGCAGAAATTTATTGACTTGAACACACTTTCATTTTGATTCTAACACCTCATGTTTGTGAATTTTTATTTATTTATTTTCTACTCGATGAAATGTTGGTGGCAATTATTTAATTTTTACTTATTTCATTCACTACACACGAACTGGTCACACTTCTATGGTAATGCTGGAATTGTTTTTTTGCACATTAGAGTCATCGCCATTCTTTTATTTATCAAGTGGGAAATTTGATTGGAAAAACTTACTTAAGAAATATAAAATCTGTCTTTAAAGTTTTGCAAGATAGAAAGAAACTACACCTTCGTGACATTTAAAGAAGGTTACACTTGGTCCATGGGTAAAGTTGCACTTTGATATCAATTGTCATGAACTGCAATGTGAAAACAACTTCTTTGCATAGGAAGGATAATATGTACCGATAACTCTTCCCTATAATAAGGGGGAAATAACTTGACATGGTTTTTCTTTCCCTCTTTTTGCTTCTTCAGGGTTGTTTCAGGCGAAATGTGACAGTAGTTACTATGTATGCATCATTGGGAGAGGAAGCTTTATCATATTCATTGAATGAGGTTTTTGTTACTCCTCTTTTGTCTCTTATTTCTCACACATCTATGCCTGGGATGTTCTGCTAATTGCTGTATACCCTCATCACAATCCAGTGGATCTTACCCTTGGATAATACGAGTTTGCCACGTTTGATTGTATATATACGATGGATCAATTTTTTAGCACTTGTCACGTATATGACATATGAGAAAAAAAAGGAAAGAGGTGTGATTAAATTTCTAAAGCAATATGGCCAGCCTCTTTTGATGTATGTTAACTAATAACTTTGCTAGGAAATGCACAGTAGCAATCAATGACTGGCTATCTGGTAGAGTACTAGAATGTCATGAACACAATTCTATTTCACAGCAAATGTCAATGTATAAAATGCTTCTTGCAATTTCTAAATCCTCTTCAATTCAGTGCACCAAACAAATTTTGGCTACATCATGAGGTGGCATTATATAAGCAACTAACACAAGGCTGTAGTTAGTTTGTAGGTTTTCTAAAGAAATAAACTATGTTATTGTCCACAATTTTTTGGTGAGCAAACTTGAACATCACACATTTCCTCAACCAATAAGTTCTAGCATTTTTAGTTTATTGAGCTTCGGAAAATTGAATCTGTCTCGTAAAGTTGTTTATATAGCCAGGGCTTGTTCTCACAGTTGTTTTTTACTTTCTAGAACTTAATATGGTTTGCTGAAATGTTTGTGTTTGCCTTGTTTAAGTTTGTGTGCTCTTTGTTTTGGTACGAACTCACTTTCAAAAACCTTTTCCAGACAGAGGTTACAACAGTAATTTGTGGGCGAAAAGAAATGAAAACACTAGTAAATATAAGTGGACAACTTGACACAGTGAAACGTGTGATTTGCATGGATGATGATATCCCATCTGATGCCTCTTCTATTGCATATAACTGGACAATCACTTCGTTCTCTGAGGTTGAGAGACTTGGCAGAGAAAACCCTGTTGAAGCTGATTTACCACTTTCAGCAGATGTTGCAGTTATAATGTATACAAGTGGAAGTACGGGATTACCCAAGGTCAGAAGCATCTTTGAGATGTGTAGCTCTCCCAATTTCAATTTCTTGTATCCTTTTACTTGATTGACTGCTCTACACAGTGTTTTAGACTGTCTAAAATATGTTTTCTTGGCTTCTTTTTGTTCCCTTTTTATTCTCTTATTTATACTGGGTTAAGTTATTCACTTGCTCTTATAGTTTCCCTCGTTTTAAGTTTTAGCCTCTGCTCAAGAAAACTAAAGTTTTAGTTCCTGTGCACGAACAAAAAGTTAGTTTTGGTCCTTTTTACTAGCATTAGAAAACAATTTCTGACAGTGAAACCGCCACATAAATGATCTGCTCTCACAAAAAAACTAGGCGTGGTCTAAACTTTTCAGTTTTCTTGTACAAGGACTAAAACTTAAAATGGAAACAACTAGGCTCAAACAAGTAGTTTAACCTTAATGTTATTTTGCTATTTCTTTAATCTTTCTTTTGCACAGGGTGTGATGATGACACATGGCAATGTCTTAGCTACACTCTCTGCTGTCATGACCATTGTTCCCGATATTGGGACCAAGGATATATATCTTGCATACTTGCCGATGGCTCATATCTTAGAATTAGCAGCTGAGGTATGTGAATACAGTGTTCTTGAATACATTCTATGAATATTTCTTTTTTAAGGGCATTGATTTTATTTCCATATTAATTTCTTCTGTTCTCCTTTATTTCATGTTTTAACAAACTTGCATACAAGTTAGAATTTGATGGCAGCTGTTGGAGTTCCTATAGGATATGGATCTCCTTTGACCCTTACTGACACATCAAACAAGATTAAGAAAGGAACAAAGGGGGATGCTACTGCACTGAGTCCAACTCTAATGGCAGCTGTACCAGCAATTCTTGATCGTGTTCGTGATGGAGTGTTCAAGAAGGTACTTTGATTTGTGACTTGTGTGATTGCACTCCTACATTGAACACGTCAAGGGTACATGTATGTTAGAAAGCTAGTTGCATTGTTTGGATGAACTTTTCTTGCTCATATAGAAGAATACAAAAGAAGGTAAAATGAATTGAGCTTTTTGCATTAGCCAAAATCAACTGATACACTTTACATATATAAAAGTTCTAGTTTTTATATAGCTTCTCGAGAAACTAAACTGTATGAGTTAATTTTAGCTTGAGAAGTTCAATGCATTTTATCTTAGTTTTATCTCTTAAAGCTATTTATAGAAAAGTTTATCCAAACATGGTCTAGTTGGGTGAGATTGAGGACTTAAAAGCTTGTCAATGCAGGTAAATGCAACAGGAGGATTGCCAAAGAAATTGTTTTATTTAGCCTATGCCCGGAGGATGCAAGCAGTTAATGGTAGTTGGCTTGGAGCTTGGGGTTTGGAAAAGGCTCTTTGGGATTTTCTTGTGTTCAAAAAGGTCCGAGCTATTCTGGGCGGCCGAATCCGTTTTATACTATCTGGTGGTGCTCCCCTTTCTGGTGATACCCAGAAGTTCATCAACATTTGTCTCGGGTCAGTCTTGTCATTACATGTATGCATTATCTTTGAAATAAATAAAAATTAATTTTATTTTGGAATAAAAATGAGTGAAAAAGTGTAGAGGGTAAGACATTTTCCTGAGAGAAACCAAGAACATCAAAAACACAAAAGCTCATTGATGATGAGGTCCTCTCAAGGCTCCTGACCAGGAAAGTCCACTAGAAGTCCCCAAGAACCCAAGACACAAAAGAGAAACAAGCTTCCAAGAAAGTCTTGGAAGATGATTGGATCTTTTTGGCCATCTTTTTTATAGGGTTTTGTTGCAGAAAGGAATGGCCAAATAGTCTAGGTATGGGGTATTGGTGAGTGTTGGTGGATGGTGTATATGGCAAATGGTGTTTATGCTTTTGGGGTGTATCTTGATGGCTAAAGGATGTGGAAAAGGTAGAAGGGTGGAATCTCAACAAGATTACACAATTAGATGCAAGAAATGGAATGAATAAGACAATCAATGATAGTGCAAGTGGAAATGGAAAAGGAGTGAGGAAGGATGGAGTATTTATGTTGTAATTAGAGGAAAACCTTCCTAATTAGAGAAAATATCTATAGAATCTTCCTCATTAGAGAAAATATCTGTAGGATCTTCTAGTTTATTTTTCAGTATATTGTTTTCTTATTTCCCTTTTTTAGAAGATTAGATTGTTACAAATAGAGATAAGGTGAATGTAATAGACATGAAAGAAAATAATAAAATTCATTTTCTTTTTCAAGAATTTTCTTATTAGAGGTGTACACACCCTAGGGTCTACGGGTAGGGTGGCTAAGATCCTTGAGGGTCTCTTGAGACTCTTCTTGAAGAGTCCAAGAAGACAAGAAGAGAGGATCTTGGGAAAACTCAACCAAGCTCATTCTTCTCACAAAAGAACTTCACTCTCAAGTTTTCAAGTTAAAGTGTATTCTATTATAAAAAGGTGTGATTTTAAATGAAGAGGATGTGCTCTTTTATTGCACTACAAGCCTTTAAGGAGTGTTTGGGATTGCTCCTAACATATACACTCAGGGTTTTTTTATTCTACCCTAGGTTAGACTTATTCTAAAAACCAAACAAGCTATTCTAACCTAGGCCTATTTTCAAGCTACGTTTTTCATGTGGGATACTTTCTTCTAAATTTATTACATTTTTATATTCTTTAATTTGTCTTCTTGAGATCTTGTTCTCCAATTTCTTCTTTAATTGAAGACTTCTTTTTCTGGTTCTCACCATTCGTGCTATACATGAAAGACAAATCAACTCAAATCTAGCCAATCTTTCCAAAGTTGAAATCCATATAAAATAAGTGTCGATTGAAAAAAACCCTATTTTACAAGCTAATCAAAAGAGAAAGAAATATTCTCCAAAACATAACCATTGTATTAAATTGCATCATGCATAGACATGTCAAATATTAGCTTATCTTTAACTTTGAAGAGATATTATTGTTGGGTCTATCGAGGAGGAGGTTACCAGTGGGTTACACAAACACCAATAACATCTGAGCCAACTATACAAGGGATCGACACCACTCTTTACCCAAAACCTTAAGGCAATGGGTTAATGGGTCTTTTATCTTTATATACTGTCCTACTTTCTCAATTCTATCAAATGTGGGACTTGGACTCACACTTGGATACCCAACAATTATTGTTCATGTTTTAGGTGGTGTGGTGAAACTTGTGATAAGTTTTGACCATTTATTTTACTATACTGGTTGACCATTAGAACTTTAAGCCTAGAGGACCAACTTGAGGATCAGACTTAATAAATATTAGGATACTGTTCTATCAACCTTGTAATGATTTCTCACTTCTTATTTTAGAGAAACGAATGTTTTATATTTTCTCCCAAAACAATCTGAACCAACACAAGTCAGAATATTATGAAAGAGTATGTAATCTAGATAGGGAGGCTTGTGATGAAAATTTCAAACGTAACTTCTGGAAGTTGTAATTGACCTTGATAGTTGCCGTAAACAAAGAAAAATTGAATCTTTTGTGGGCCAGCATTTTTCCTTTTAAAATTCGATGTATGTGTTATGTGTGGAATGACCTTCTAAAGGATAAATTACTTCATTCACTTTTGAGTGTTCCACAAAAGGAAATGTTACTAGTTTCTACTCCAGTGCTTTTTTGCCTTTTTGCATTTCCATTATTATATTTTTTCATATATGTATGGTCATATTCAGTGCTCCAATCGGTCAAGGATATGGTCTTACAGAGACTTGTGCTGGTGGGACATTCTCTGATGTTGATGACACTTCTGTTGGTCGTGTTGGACCACCTCTTCCATGCTCATTTATTAAGGTAATTATAGATTAGATCAATTTATCTTCATGCAACTTGAATGGCACATTTTTTTTTTATTTTTGCTTATGGGGAGGGGAGTAATGTCATAGCATGGACCTTGCTACATTAATAAGGAGAAGTAATACAAAACCTTACAATCATACTCGGATAACAATTCTTGATGGTGATCATTCAACACGGTCGTGTATATATGCATGGGTTACCTATCTTGAGTAAATCTTGTTAAGTCACGTTATGTAAAATTTCTTAGCAAGTGGAGAAATTACTAGAATAGGAAGCTTGTTCTCTTTCTATACTCATTTTACCATTTTCTTTTCACAAAAGGTCTTGTTTATAACCATGGTTGTCATTGATTTTCTACCATTTTTAACTAGTGCTCTAGTCTTAAGTAACTTGTGAGCATGTACCTTTTCTTAAGTTTTTTGAAAGATGTTTCTGGTGTTATTGTATCCTATTTGAACTACTAGAGTTGACCCCGTGGTAGGAGATTTGAGATGTATATGCATGAGGTCCTAGGTTTTACTCACTCAAAAAAGTTAACCTATCTGAGGTTTGTACTTTATATGTATATATCAAAATAGAAAATATTTTCAAATCTATCCATAAATGTTTTTAAGTACTGTTTGAATGTTTCCAAGTGTGACCTATGTACTTTACGACTTTGTGGAGGCCTTCTCACAACTCTAAAGTGGATGTATTGAATGTCAACTATTTCCCTTTTTTCTTCAATCTTGTTGTCATTGGTGATTTGTAGCTCGTAAAATTTTATAGAAATAGATAAAATCTATGATCTTCCTTGTATAATGGTGCAATGTAAAGGGGCCTCAAGATTGAGTCATCATTATGTATTTTCTACTCTAGATATCTAATCATAGCAGTTTACTTTTCTTTCTGGTATCCGTGAAAGAGTATTTCTAATGAACATTTGCTTTTCTTACCACAGCTAATCAACTGGCCTGAAGGTGGATATTTAACAAATGACTCACCAATGCCCCGTGGAGAAATTGTAATTGGTGGTCCAAATGTCACTCTAGGGTATTTCAAAAATGAAGAAAAAACGAATGAATCGTACAAGGTTTGTATCGATGGTCTTTTCTGTTATTTTTCTTTGGGGAGAAAAAACTGGGATAATGTATCACTTCCGATTTTCCACTATTGCCATAAAAGTTCTGTTTAGTCAATTTGAAAGATTTCATCTTACACATTTTTTCTGTCCAATGTCTGTCTGTATTTTGTTACACTTTTTTTATGTGGGGGGAGGAAGAGATTAATTTGTACTTGTTGTGAAGGTTGATGAAAGAGGCATGAGGTGGTTTTACACTGGTGACATTGGCAGATTTCATCCAGATGGATGCCTTGAAATCATTGACCGTAAAAAGGACATTGTTAAACTGCAGCATGGAGAATATGTCTCCTTGGGAAAGGTATATATGGATAATACTTCTTTTTTGTTTTTTTAAGGAAAAGTTGTGTTATTGAAAGGACCACTAATACTTTTATTGCTAAGCTCTCTTTTTAGTGTTATTAGTGTTAGCAATTTTTAGAGTTGTTAGTGTTAGCAATAAACTCTCAAACATGCTCTTTTTAACATTCATTCCAGTGTTGGTTAAAACTTTTAAAAAACTGCAGGATCAAGATCGGAATCCATTACTGTGAAAGTAAGAATCATTAAAATTTGTAGTTTTAAGAAAATTTAGCCAATAGTAAAAGGTTTGTTAGAGAATGTGTTACTGGCACTATACTGGAGTTAAAAGTGTAACGGGAAATTCAAATTCTAAGTGTATCCTATGCTTAAAATAACTTGATAAAATATTACTCCTTTCTGAGAAATTAAAATTCCCATCTTCATGTTGTAGGTATTTAGGCATATTTTTCAACAACTTTGTAGCATGCACCATGCACCATTCTAAAACATTTTCCTACATGACCAACTTATTAAATGCAGGTTGAGGCAGCTCTTATTGTTAGTCCCTTTGTGGACAATATTATGGTCCATGCTGACCCTTTCCACAGTTACTGTGTGGCACTTGTGGTGGGTTCTCAGTTCACATTGGAGGAATGGGCTTCACAACAAGGAATTTCATATGTCAATTTTTTAGATCTGTGTGCAAAAGAAGAAACTGTGAAGGAGGTGCATGCATCACTTGTAAAGGTATGCCCACTTTCCTAAATTCTCTTAACAATCTATTGGTAATGATTAGGAATTAATGTCATATTCTAGGAAGTACACTTGTCTAAATCAATAATACATTATAGACTTAAAAGTTAACGAAAGCAAATTTTGTAATTAACTTTAGAGTTACGTCCTAATTTATCTCGGGTTTGTCTTGTATTCAAACAACCACATATGCAAATTTAGAAAACAAATCATGTAACACCATATTTTGTACACGAAAAACCTGGAATGGTTAAAAGTTGCAACTTGGATTTCACATGCTCTCTTTTGGGTTGATATTTTATTTTCTATGTCATATTCGTTAACAATTTGGTGTCACTTGAGTGTAGAAGCATATATTTTCACTATGTCTTTATTGATTATATTAGCAACAAGCTTGGTACATACGATTTGTATATACCAGCCTGAGGAGAAGTATTAGATATATTATCTTTATCTTTTATTTTTAATTAGTTTGTTATTATCCCTTATTTGTATTTTAGACTTAGTCCATATTTCTTCTATTATAAATATGTATATATTCAACAAGAGGGAGATTAATTTCATACATAGTTTTTTCACTATATTCAACATGGTATCTAGAGCCTAAGATTCTTTTGAGAAAAAACAAATTGTCGCCTCTGTCACGACACCTACCGCTGTCGGCGGTGCTGTCTACTGTTGCAACCAGCAGCACTGTCGTCTACCGCCGCTGTCAGTGTCACCGACACCCTCTGTTGCCATAGTCGAAGTTCTAGATTTGACTAATGATAACACGATTTTGATTGTCTCGACTAGTAGTCCTAAGAATTTTATCTTTCAAAACCTATGTCTGAGTACCTCAGTCCTACTCTCCTAATTTCAGTTCTCTACTAGAGTCTTTTTCATTGTTGTCCACTATTTGTTGCCTTGTCCACCAATGTTCACCACTGGGAGAGTCTGTTTCTAGGTGCTTTGATGAATAAAGAAGACCATTCTTTTGAAGAGTCAGATCTTCTACCTTCACTGTTTCTATGTGGTCCAATCTAGTCCCTGCAGTCTATCGTTGTCAACCACTCCAGGCCACCATCCGTTACTGATGGCAATCTAGTACTTGTAGTTTGTTGTTGTCCACCATTGCAGGCCCCTATCAATTACTAATGACAATTTAGTCCCTACAGTTTGTTGTTGTCTGCTATTGATGGTAATCTTCTTTGTCGAAGTTTCGCGGTTGTCCACCGCGGTTTAATATTATTCTCCACAGCTGTTATTAGTTGTTTGTTAACCTCTGTTTGCACTCTTTATCAATTGGATGTCAATAATGCATTCTTCAACGACAATTTGCAAAAAGAAATTTATATGGAGCAACCTCCCATATTTGTTGCTCAAGGAGGTCTTTTGGGTTGATATTTCATCTTTTATGTCGTCTTCGCAAATCATTAACAATTTGGTGTCACTTGAGTGCAAAAGCAAATATTTTCACTAATTTTTTATTGATTAAATTGGTAACAAGCTTGGTACATACGATTTGTATGCATCAACTTGAGAGGGAGTGTTAGATATATTATCTTTATCTTATCTTTATCTTTTATCTTTAGTTTGTTTGTTATTAGTCCTTATTTGTATTTTGGGTTTAGCCTATATTTCTTTTATTATAAATAGAGTAGGGCCACTTTTGAATATGAATATGATACATCTTGTTCAATGTCTTGAAAAGCTTTTATCATCTGGAAAATAGTGATCCTCCTTTTACAAAAGGGTCATAATTGTGTGTTTATTGTGACCATGACATTTACATTTTATTGTGCTGTCCTCTATCCTTGACTTATACTATTTAAACCAAGTCATTGATTTGGCGTTTTATCATGACAATAAGAATGATCAAATTGAGATGGCATTTTCTAATTTCTGCATGGTTAAAGAAAACAACCAATAATTATTGTTGGAAGTCTTACGTCGTCAACTAGAAATAAGACTAATTTAGAGTATATATATGGGTGCAAACTTCATCTTACAAGCCGATTTTTTGAGATTGAGTTAGTCTTAAAGTTCATTTTTTAATATGGTATCAGAGCCATAAGTTAGAGACTATCCTAATGAGATTTATGTTTTTTTTGGACATATCATTCCACTTGCTATCGAGCCACTATCGGACCATCCATTGATGTTTAATCCCACACACAAGATGTATATATCTCAGCGTGAGGGAGGTGTATTGAAAGTCTCATATTGACTTTCACCTTACAAGCCGATTTTTTGGGATTGAGTTAGTTTTAAAGTTCATTTCTTAACATGGTATCAGAGCTATAAGTTAGAGTCTATCGTAATGAGATTTATGTTTTTTGGACATATCATTTCACCCGCTATTGAGCCACTACCGAACCATCCATTGATGTCTAATCACACACACAAAATGTATATATCTCGGCGTGAGGGAGGTGTATTGAAAGTCTCATATTGACTAGTGATAAAGTCAGTTTAAAGTATATAAGTGGATGTAAACCTCCCTTTACAAGCCGATTATCCAAGATAAAAGTAACCTAAAAGCCAAGGAAGGCAAAGTTATAAGATTTTGCTTATGTGGTTAAAAAGACATGCCGTGTAGATTTATGTAGCTGGTGTTTCATCCTTTTTATATATTTATACAGATTTGGTGATGTTTACTTGTATAAAATTTGCATGTTATAAAAAGTCCCTAGGAGACAAAGGGGCTTATATTAGGTTGTAAAGTTCATTTCTAACTTGATATTAGTTCTTGATTTTATATCTTGTAACATACGTTACACCAAAGATATCCCACTTAGTTCCCTGTTATTAGTTATGTTTGGTGTGAGTCCCAAATTTCACAATTAAAAGAAAAGGTTTGCTCTTTTTCTAGTATGCATACATACATTCTTTGAATCAACATTCCATGTGTTCCTCCTTTGTTATCTTAGTCTGTGAACGAGTTAAAATATTCCTTTAACATTTTCTTAAACCTCAAATTTTCAATCCCTTTCTATCAAATAGCGCATCTTATTTCTCATTTCTCTCTTCCTTTTTTTTATCTCACGTAATTGTATATAATATTGTGAAAAATATTAAGAATAGAAGTTCTCTTAATGAAACTATTGGCAGGAGGGAAAGAAGGCTCATCTGGAGAAATTTGAGATTCCTTCAAAAATTAAATTGCTTTCTGATCCATGGACCCCTGAGTCTGGCCTTGTTACTGCTGCTCTCAAACTCAAGAGGGAGGCAATAAAAAAGACTTTTAATGAGGAACTTACAAAGTTGTATGCTTCATAGGCTAAGGACACTAATCTTTTTACCAGCATTTCCCATTTGCATAGGGCAGGTTGAGGTGAGAAGGGTTTTGTATTTTTTTGTTAATCATTTTGTTTTTTCCATTTGAAGTTTATCATGCAAAGTGAGGCTTATTACGTGCAGAAGGCCAATACGTTGAATAATTTAATTTACTGAAGTAGTAACACTGTAAAATGAACTTTTATCAGACGTTATTGTTGTATCAATTTTCCAATTATAGAGTTACTCAGTATATTATGTTTGTTTGCCACTTTTCCCTTCTAAAAAGTGTTTTGTTCATAAACCATCGGTGCATCCTGATTCCGCTAAATCAGATGGAAGGAAGAAAAATTTTAAATGACTACTATAGTAAGCTTTGGTTTAACCTTTGTGCTAAAAGAGTGACTTTAAGTTCTTCCAAGAGGGTTCTTGTGTGATAAGGTGCTATTACTGTTGTTAGGATTCTTGATTCATCCCTTAAGGATTTTTAAGGGAAGTGTTTTTGTTTCTTGTCGATTTTCAAGAGGTGGTTTTTCATTTCTCGTGATTATTTAAAGAAGGTGTGTTTCATCAGGTATTCAAGAGTGTTTTTCTTTCCTTGTGGTTATATTTTTCATTATTTTAAAGGTTTTATTACATGTTTCATTTTATATTTATGGTTATAATAGTCTATTGTTTTGGTTGTTTTTATAGTGATTTATGATCACTCTCTTTAGAGTGATTCACCAACTTATTATTATTGATTTGAACCCGTCTAAAATTTTTGTATGACTTGTTTTTATTTCTTATTCTCTTTGTTTCGTTGCAACAAAATTAAATTTTCACACATTTTATAAAAGTTTAATACTATGATATTTTGTTATTACAGTTTAGTATAAGTTCAAAGTCCGATAAAAATAAGTTTTGGATAATTGAAAAGTTTTAAAAATCAGAACTTTAACTTTAAAGTAATTCATCCTCTATTAGTTCTGTTCAACGTAATCTTTTATTCTAAAAGTTAACAAACTTAGAAATTTGCATGATCCTTAATTATAATATAAGTTCAAAGTTTAAAGTTAATTAAGTTCAAAGTTTAAAGTTTGATAAAAATAAGTTTTAAATAATTGAAAAGTTTTTTTAAAAGTAGAACTTTTAACTTTAAATCAATTCATCCCATGTTAGTTTTGTTCAATCGAACCTTTTATTCTAAAAGTTAACAAAATTAGAAATTTGCATGATCGTTAGTTATAAGTATTTACATTGGCCAGTACATAGGATGCTTAAAGGCACAACTGATTTTTCATGCATTTTGTAAGTGTAAAAGTTTTACATCAATTATTCAATAAGTAACATTCATTCTAGGTATTACTTTCAAGGTACTTAATATTAACACATCAAATTTACTATGTAATAACATCATCATCATTTTTTATTGCTCTAACCAGCATGATCAAGGGTCAGAGCTTTAGTCCAAGGATTGTAAAGCATTCATACCTTCAATTTCCTCCGTTCTGCAATCCGTGAGGCTTTATCACCACTGTTGGTTTCAATAAAATCTGAGATGTCATTAGAAACTTGTTAGATTATAAATAAAGGACTCAATGTTTGTTGCTAAACAACACTATAGTTGTTTCAAGTCAAACAACAGAATAATAACAAAAATAGTTTGTCTACTACAGAAAATCAAACACAAAAAGGAGAAAATAAAGAATGATAGTTTTTTCCAAGGAGTTTTGGATTGGAAATTGCCACCACTGCATGCAAGCACAACTCGGATAGCGATAATAACAAAACACAAGACAAAGAAATTGATTGGCATTATTGGAAGATATCTAACTAATTTTCTCAAATAAAACAAAGAGTAACAAGGGAAGAAGATATATACCAGGTGTCCCAAAGGCCCTTGTTGGACTTAAGATGTTAAAGAACATCACAGTTGCTCCAACCACCAAGAGCAAAGCAAAGAGGCCAGAAACCTTCATGTTTTTTCAAGTACTACTAACCAGTTGCCAATACAACAAACTTGAAGAGAACAATGTGAATTAGTAATAAATAACTCTTCTTAGAAGGAGGAAAGGAGGAGTGTTTTGTCACTTATTGTTGATGAAGGGTGGAAAAAAAATGAGACTCAAACAAAACCTACTTATTTTATGTTGTTTCTACTCGACCCAAAAGACATATTAAGTTAACGGTCCAACAAGGTTATTTTAGGCTCTTTATTATGGAGTAGCTCAAAATACCTATTTGGGGCATATTTATATATTATAACTAAATTTCAATAGTTTGACATTTTGGTTATTATTAATTATTCTATTATTATTATTATTATTAGACTATTATTATACTTCTTAGATAAATATTATTCTAATAGGAATAGAATCACAACTCATGTTGATCCTATAAATATAAGAGTAACTCTCAAGAGATACTTACTTCACACTTGATACTTGATAATTACTCTCATATAATATATCTTAACTCTCTTACTGACTTGAGCGTCAGAGAGTCTTTGTAGGTGAGTCTTTCCCTCTCATTCATGAGGTGACCCTCTTCAAACAAAAGGAGCAATCAAAGCACTATTAGGATCTTGTCACATGTTCACAAAGTCCATGTTCAAGATCTAGGTAAGATCACATGTGCCCATTGTGGGGCTCAAGTAAAACTTTATCATGTCTTCACATTATTCACTATCATCATCTGCATAAAGATAGTCTATGATTATTGATAATCACTCATGCTGGCACGAGCATTTATGATCTAAGTTTTGAAATGGTTTTGAAGAGTGTTATCTTGATACTCATTTTTAATATTTTATTATGATATAATATTATATTGAATACTTGTGGAACAATAACATGCATATAAATATTTTCTCTTTATTATGATATCATTCGCCTCAACAAGTTACGGGTCTTTATTTGCACTCATCAATGGGGCTTATGTGGCAACACCTTATGATACATTGGTGCAATGCACCAATGTTCTTTTCATGTGAAAATTCAAAGGATGACACATATGTTTAAAACCCATGCAATTGATGTAACATGTTAAACTTTTATTGGTGGAAATTCTTTGAGATCCAACAAAAGTTAAATTATCATGTGACCTTAATGACCCAAGGTCTTCTAGTTAATGGCTATTACAATTAATGGGACGTAAATACATCTAAATAGATCATTGCAGGGTTCTTTTGCTACATCAAAACATGACCAAAAAGGATATCAAACTCACTTTCAAGAAGAAACTAGCATTTCAATGCCACCCGAACAAGCACTCCCAATTGTCGAAGGTCATTATCGAAGGTCATTAGGAAAAATGTCACAAGTTCATTCAAGTAGACATTTGCGACCTACTTGGTCCTCATGGATGACATATATATATATATATATATATATATATATATATATATATATATAGAGGGTCTAATGATAAAATACACAAGTATGGTGGATCTAAAACTAGATCTTGTATAGTTCCATATCATGAAGAAAGTCTAAACTCAATTCTTGTTAGTGATGTACCTAAAGATCTGCATAGGAATGACATAGTAAAGATTTATCGTTAATTCATGATCAACTATATCTAGTTGGAAAGTAACAATCTAGTTACTCGACCTACTACAACATTTGTGCCAAGTCTATAATGACAAACATCTCCAACACACTGCTCCATATTGTTACAAAAATGGGGAACTCACAAAATACAATGTAACAGGTGTGCATGACCTTAAGTTGGCACTAGATAACATCTATCTGAAACATAATTTTTAGGATTTCTCATCTAATAAAAATCATGAATTTCTATAAGGAAATTTGTAAAAATGACTGAGGAAAACTCTGGCTAGGTAAGACAATATTTTTTAGTTTGTCCATGGTGACTTATCTCTCTTTTCTAAGAGTCTACTCAGTAAAATTTCAACAATATTTCCATCAAGAAACTTTTATGCATCGCACAACTAGCAATTTGGGTGGTCCTACTTACACCATCCTTCATTAAAAGCCCAAAGAAGCTCAACCTTCCTAAGCCCAAAGAAGCTCAACCTTCCTATGCCCAAATACAAAACTCAACTCAACACCATGACATCTCAACATGTGATCAGCTTGGAATTTAGGTAATAAAGTACAAAAAGAGCCCAGTGTTCCAAACACCAGAGCACACGAACAAGAAAATCCTTGTATCCTATTGCTCAAACACTAGAAATGATCCAACGACTAGTCACTAGAACAACTTGACATATCAACTCGATTATAAGAAAAAAATGATGTTCAACCTTGATAGCACAGGGATAGCTTAGCAACCTAGAATAGGACACACTCAGCACAATACTTGAGCAAAAAAAAATTGTTGAAGCACAAAACTATTGGACTGTAGCGAAAGCCCACAAACGTGGCAACCTAGAACAAGGATCCAGATAAACAACAGCGGACAAAAACCCATAAACAAAGCCTTCAGGTATGGTAGTCAACTCAGCAGACACTGAAAGAAATACCAAGCAATGACTCTAAAAATACTACATCGAACATAGAAAAGTTCAGCATGGTAGTCAACTCAGCAGCACCCGAGTACAAAAGAAGGCAAAGTACAATTACAATCCTACGACACCAGGTAAAAGGCTTAAGCCGCCTAACACAATCATAGAACACAACTTTGACCTCAGAACAAGCCACAAAACATGGTTGACAAACAACGTAACTCGACCAACACGACCAATAATCCAATAGTAAAGCCCGACTACCCTTAATCCTTGATAATTACTCTCATAATAAATCTTATTTCTTTTATTAACTTGAACATTCAAAAGTCTTTGTAGATAAATACTTCCCTCTCATCGACGAGGTGATCCTCTTAAAAAAACAATCAAAATACTATTAACATCTTGTCATTGCAAACTCTTGGATGATAAAATGTTTGAAGACTCTGATTCCAGTGCAACCTTCACTGAACGCATTAAATTCAATTATGGAAGAGTCTCAATAATAAAAGCATTTATAAAAGGATTACTTGGAGAAACTGAAGGAACTTTTGGGAAAAACATTCACATAAATCATGTAAAAAATATTTATTAGTCTGATTTTTTCATCTTGGTTATATTAATAGAAACAAATTTGCTTACTTTCATGAACTTAAATATATTTATACTATATTATTTAGATTAGTTTCTATAAAATAAAAAACATTTTAACTTAAAAGGAAAAGTTCACAAACATAACATATAACCTAACAATTCCAACCCACCCATATTGAGCATTAAGAAGATGATAAGATATGGATAACCAATGCCCTTAAGAACCATCACTTTAAAGAGATATAGAGAGTCTTGATATATATAAATCATTTCAAAAGTAAGAAAACTAAACAATTCAAGATTTGTTGTCTTTTGAAATACTAAAAATTGAAAGTGTACAAGAGTAGTTATCCTTTAATTTTAAAGAGTTTAGATGAAATAAAGTTTTAGATTAATAAAATGATTTTTTTTTTTACATTTCAATTTATCTCTATTAAAAATTTTAAGTCCTACTGATATAATTAATTTTTTAGAAAAATATATAGAACTATGTTTACTAAAATTTCAAGAAGTCTTACTGCTGCAATATAATTTACTTCTTTTATATAAATTAGAAAACACACACGCATGTGTACTATTTTTTTTATAATAATAAAAAATTATAAAATTAATATTATTGTTATTATTATAATTATAAAATTAAATATAAATAATTTTTATTATTTTATTATAAGTAATTTTTATATTTTTTGTAAGTAACTTTTTAATTAAAAAATTATTAAGTTAAAAAAGAGGTTAAATTAAAAAAATGAAAAATTAAAAAAAAATCACTTAATAGATAATATTAATAAAATAATTATTTTATTTTTTTAAAAAAAATATTTAAAAAGTAAAATTCGAAAACCAATGAAAAGCATATATACAATTATGTTCATAACTTGAAATATGGTTTATCTTCATAAAAATATTTCATTTCTTAAAATGCAACACTGTTGTGAAAATGATTTCTCAATACCAAATTATTTATCAACAAAATTATATTTCAAATAAACATAAACTGAAAATTGTTTATGGGTTTCAACAATAGAAAAACTAAAAAAAAGGTTAAAAATTTTATTCATATTAATGACTTTAAATTTAAATCCAAATTTATACTTATAAAGCCTGCTAAGAGAGCTTGTATTTTTTTATCTTTAACCTGCAAATGTCTTAAAAAAATAAATATTATAATATAATAAAGCAAAATATCAATAATAACCTTCAATTTAAGGGTTAAATATGTTTTTAGTCCCTAAACTATTGGCCGTTTCTGGTTTTTGTCCCTCTTTCAAAGTAAGGTACAATTTGTTCCTCATTCTTTTCGAAACGTTCGTTTTAGTCCTTGGAATTTTGGTTTTAGTCCTCATTTGTTGCTAAATGAGGACCAAATGTTTAAACAGTGTTTAGTTTTCGAGGACTAAAACGAACGTTTCGAAAAGAATGAGGACCAAATTGTACCTTACTTTGAAAGAGGAACGAAAACCAGAAACGACCAATAGTTTAGGGACTAAAAACATATTTAACCCTCAATTTAATTGACATTTAAATTTCATAACAGATTATTAAAAATAGATGGTACAAAAATAAATCTAAAATTAAAATAATGTAATATTTATCTACTTATATTTTTAATGGATTTAAAGTGATTACTAATATGAAATCATATAAAAATTACAAAAAATAAATTAAATAAAACAAA